GTGCATGACCGTAATGTTACCGTGTTGTGCTGCTGTCTCTGTGTGCTGCCGCTGCCGCGTGCTGCCACAGCACGTTTAATTGGACGGTGCCGTTCTTGTCGTGGCTGGCCATGGCGGTGCTGGCCGTGGTCACACTCGTCCTCTACCTCGTCCCACTCCGCTTCATCGTCCTCCTGTGGGGTGAGCTGCTGCGGCACAGCGATCGCGGGCGCAGGCGGCGCCACCGCACCGGAGCCCTGCGGGCCAGAGTGGCCACCTCGGGTGCCGGGCTGTGAAAAGGGGGGGGGGGTGGAGGGGGGCAGGAGGAAATCGGTACACGGGGGAGGCCCCGTTTAAATCCTCGTCGCGGGGCCCCGTGCCAGCCACGCCACTGGGCGAGCGGTGCCATTGGGCATGGTTGGTGTGGGGGGGGGGGGGGGGGGGTGACGGGTGCACCCACCTCCTTGGGCTCGAGTGGATGGGACGGGGGCTGTGCTGGGCTGCGCTGAGCCGGCCCGGGCTAGTCGTGGATTCAGGACTTTTTTGTTTCTTACTCCGCGGAGTGCAGCAGCCCGCCACTGAAAAGTGTGAGAGTGCGGCTCTGGCAAAAGCGCCACCGATCCTGGTGGCCCGTCCAACTTTAGTTTGATCGCTCTTGTCAGATTTTCGCCCGCGTGCCTGGGTTTCGTTGCCGGCCTAATGTTATTGACCAGCGTATACACGCGCGTCGAGTAAGCCCCGTTCAGGGTACCGGCGGCGAGACTTCACCGGGATGTTTCCGAGTGGCCTCACCGCGGGCGGCGGCTTTCCACGCACGCTCCGCGTCGCATTCCCGCCCGTCCCGGGGGATGAATAAATAATAAAACAATAAACGCTACAGTTGTCTGAACCGCGGAGGTTAATAAGATCTTTGGGGGCTGTAAAGCGGAGTGGCCTTCTTTTCGTGCCGGCCTTTTGCCCAGTGTCGATCCAATTGAAACAGCAGCTCTTTGGAGGCCTCCGAGACAATTAGCGCGAGCCCGCGGGGACGGGACGAACGCAAACGTAAATGATGTGAATGAACTCGCCGAGAGGACGAATAACGGGCATCGAAAACACCCACGGCTCTGGAGTTGCCGGAGTGGGATTAACAAACATCTCATTCTTGCTCCCGCCGGGCCTCGCCAGAGTTGTCAGGATATTGCACTTGCGAGTCGCGCGGGACGGAGATGAAATTGACGAGCATTACGGCGCTGTCCAATTACCATAATGAAGTTTGCGGCGTGATGCGGAGGCGATAATGATAGAAGTCGTACAATTGAGCAATTTGTCACCTTTCATTACTTCACACCTCGCAAATAAAAATAGAGCTCACGAGCACATGTTGTTGAGCTTGTCAAAGCCTGGAATAATAAATAGTGATGGTGGTAATAATTTTCAGCTGTTGTCAATCCTTGGCTGGATGAAGGCCTGCCCCCCAAGCCATGTGCTGGTGGCGGCGGCAGCGGTTTGGTTTGACGTCTCCACGATGTTTCTTTAATGTAGATTGGTGTCGCAAGGCTAGAACCGGTTCAGATGTCGCGGACCACTGATATTCGCCGTGGCCAGGGATCAAACCGAGGTGGCCGAGTTCATAGCCCAGTGCACTGACCCGCAGTACAAAGATCCGCCGTGTAGCCTTGGATGTATGTTGAACTTCTTTGTCACCGTACGGAGCCAACCGTGCTAATTGGAGGTGCGCGAAGCCGTAACAGACTGTTGGTGCGAGTGCTGTTAGGGAGCACCTATGAAGGCCGGCACGGTACACGAGGGGGCGGGTGGCCAGCACCACGCCCGGCTGCCTTTGTATCCCTGGTGGCGATATTTACACACTGCACCAGGTACTCATTTTAGACCTGAGTCGATCTAGGGAAGACCCAGAACTGGTTCAGATAATTGTCACTGGTGTTGGCCGTGAGCGGGAAGCGAACTTGGGTCGCCGGGTTTGTAGGACAGCGCTACAACCGCTATATGAGCACTCCCCATCGTAACTGCAGTACCACTGTGACCAGCCACATCAATGCATGAATATACTGTGAACATTTTTAAGTAAAAAATATATTTAGCTATCAACTTGCTGTGGCCGCTATAAATGTGTCACCTATCCTGATCTACGAGGGACCCAAAATATATTTAGTGAGAAATCAAGCCCTGAAATTGGGCTTAGGCAAACGTTGCAAGCAGAGGTTCGAAATATTTGTTTCTATCCATGATGCAGACCACCCTGAAACGCAACTCATGCTTTGCTGCGATGAGATTTGCCGACGATAGCCTCCCTCCTCTCCGTGTTCCCTCTCTCCTTCCCTCGCAGGAATAAACAAATTCACCAAAAAGCTGCGGAATCCATATCAGATCGATAACAACGAGGTGCTGGACTTCCTCTCCCGGGTTCCCTCCGATGTGCAGAGGGTACGTGTCTCACTCAGCACATCGGTTTCTCGCATTGTTATGACGCACAACTGATTTTTGTTTTTGGGTGAGGCCACGTAACGATCTCTGCCCGAAATTGTGCGTTCGCCAAGAGTTCTCCACTACCCGACCGCCAAATTAAATTTTCACGTGTGCAAGCGTTTTTACCGCGCGCCAGCTACGATTTGTTTTTCGGCTCACTCGCCGATACGTTGGCGGACGAACCCCACGACCAAGTCAAGCAGCCGTTTAAATACGTCATCAGGACAAGATCCAGGAAGCCAGAATAAAAATGTCTGGGAAGTCGGAAGTCATTCTACAACGAATCTATTTTCATTTTAACAGGTAAGGCCCACTGAGCTATACAGCTCTTTTTCAGAAGCGACCTGGCCACAAATGATAGCTCAACAAAGTGGCTTATGTGGACATTTGTAGCAGCCAAATACTCTTAAACGCGTTTATAAATATGGAGGGAAAAAATCCACATGCCCATGGGGAGAACATGCAAATTCCAAAAATACAGGTGTCAGGGACGGGATCAAACCCACGACCTGTACAGCAGGTGTGGTAGTTAACATTTAGCCAACATGCCACCCCTAACTCCAACTCCCTGGATGGCCGTGTCGGGTGGTGGAGGGTGTTAACGACACAAATTTGCCCAGATTGTTATGCACCGGCGTGCGTTGTGCCTCGGAGGCTCTCCGGTGCGAGTTTTTTCATATCGCGCATTGTTTCTTTGACATCTCATTTCTTGAGAATTGCTTTTTGTGTTTAGTTTGTTGTCCTTCCCCCGCACCTCCGATTAGCAAGGTTGGCTACATACATATATACATAATCGAGCCAGGGTGCTCTGCTTTGATGACTCTGAAGGGCTGTTTCCCAAAACGTCGCCCATTGTATATTTTTCCTAAGTCTAGTGTTATTGACGAATGGCTTTTCTAAACAATCAATCGGGTTAGTACTTTACAATCCCACGTGGTTCACCTCCCATAGGGCCCAGCTGATGAAGCTGTTGCTGTCGCCAGAGATGTGTTAATCGCCAATCTCGTTCGTGACGACGGGCTGCTGTTGTCGCTGCAGGTTCAGTACCGGGAAATCAAGCACGACCTGGGGCCCAGTCCAAGCAGGAAGAAACGTAGCAACCCGGGGTAGATGCCAGCGCGTCAAAGACAGGAATGCGGTATTTTATTTTTTACGATCGCAAATGCGGCAAGGGACCAAGTCGGAGATCTGTCGGGGACAACGTCGCGCCTCCTTTTAAATCTGAAACCCATGCATGTATTTTACAATGCGGTAAGAATGCATAACTGTCAGCCAGTGAATGTGATATATTTTTAACCCTCTCGACAATGGTGTATTTTATATTAAGCGAAAAGTGCAATGCTCAAAACTTACGGTTTGTCTCGTCTGTCGTTTAAACGCTTGTTTGAAACATGCGTAAAGGTAGCTGTGCTACTGCCTGTGACTTCCCCTCCCCCACTTAAGGACAAAAATAAGTTGATTTTATCGTCTGTCGCGACTTGGAAACGTTTTCTTTATTAAATTAAAATAATGCAAAGATACGTGCCTTTGCACTCCAATGGATCGTGACGGGGGAAAAAAAATTGTGGTGTTTACACATCCAGCCGCGCATGTTTACATTTTGAACTGGGGCCATCGTGAAAGCCACCTTTGACCTTAAGTAATTTACTACGTCTTTTAAGAATTAACTTTCAATGAAGGTGATGTAGTTTTAAACCCTGCGGAGTTCCCCAGACCCTGGTGCCCTGTTAGGTTTCTTTTGGTGAAGACGGAGGGCGTGTGGAAACGCGTTAAAAAGGGGCCATCTTTTAAACAATCTTCGATTAACGATTTTCTCAAAATGCAAGTCCGGCTGACGATGTTTTTTTTTTCTCAAACATTTAGCTGGAATTGCAAGATTCTTCCTTTCAAGGATTTTTTTTGTCTTAATCAAGTCTTTTTTTTTAAAGATGACATCATCTGGATTTAATGATGGGACGAGGGGTTATTTTAATCAAAGTTATGAACGTTGGTCTTCCAAGCCATGGGGTTGAAAATGGCTAGAGGAGTGCCAACGGAACCCATGCGAATGCAAATACTCATCGTTGATACGTTTCAAGTCAAGTTGCATCTATTATGTACGCAGCGAATATGAAAATGTTCTGATGCATGTAAATCATAGCTTTATTTCTGTACAATTGGACGTATGAAGTATATGAGGAATGTACAAACATACAGTAGAGACACGAATATATAAACAAATTTGCAAATGTTGCTAGGTTTTTGGAGACTTTCAGTCATGGCTGTATTTTCCATGCTCTCGCAAAATAAAGTATTCATTTTGCAGACGTTTGTTCACAAGTGCTGGTTGAAAATCCCCCAACTTTTCAGTGTTGAAAGTATTTACAACTTAGAAAACCCCAAGAGTGTCCATGTTAGCAATACCATGGCACAATACAAACATTCTTAGAAAACTTTAAAGCTTAACGTTTTGACCTCTTAGATTCCACAACCGTAGTCGTACAGAATCCTAATAAAAACATTCTGAACAGACTTGCTTCACGATTAATTAGCAGGCGGTGTGCCAAATGTGTGTTTTCCTCCCACCGTTATTCCTAAATTTCTGCCCACGTTCGTTTTCTGCTTAAATTCCAGTACACAAATTGAGGTTGTACGATACTTTGCTAAGCCAAATCAAAGTACAATGTGAGCTCATTTTGGCCGAGCCAAATGGTTTCACGAAGGACGCTCGTTTGTGTGTCCGCCCCGCGACTTTAGCTAACTGAGCAATCAACTTTTCCAAGTGTTTACTCCTTAGCCTTGGGTTCATCACAACCGTGCCAGGTTGTCACAACTGACCAACATCTGCTGCAAAAACGGAAACAAAAACTCCAGCTAAGTCTTTGACCTGCATCGGTCCGATTAAATGTGTAAATGAACTTTGCATTTGATTACATTTCCCTAATTGGGTTGGCACCTTTGCTCATTTCTATATCCGTGAAACAAACTGTGTTATTAACACATCACTACTACTACCGTTGGGATTTACTGATGTCTGTATTTCTGCTTACATCACTGAAACCAACAGTGAACCAAGCATCAACACTGAGCATTGCGAGATGAGGTTTGAGAAGGCTCGACTTAATTCTTGACGGCAGGCAACCACAATCCGTGCATGGGCTGCGATTCCCCAAGAAAGATGCATTTTTACAGACAAAACGTTTAAAATATTATTTTACACATTACACTGAATGAGAAACTTATTGTAACGAAGAATACTTTGACTAAAAAGCACTTTATTAAAATATATATATTAAGATTTGGTAGGCTCCAGCATCTCCCTGTACAAAACCCCCATTCCCCCCTCTTAAAACGTAATAAATAAACACTTTGCAAAGTTGTATCGATTTATAATAACGAGTTTACAACAAAATCACCACAGCCCCTGTGGCTCCAGCCACCTCTCAACCCACCCCCCACCATTCCCCCACCCCGTACCCCTCACCAATTTACGGTGGAATTCAACAAAATTGTCTTATGGATAGAACAGCACCCACTACAAGAACGTAGAATTTCCACCACTGGCTCAGGGATGTAAACATGAGACTAGTACCACCTCAACACTTGTCCGAACAAGAAACCACTTCTCAGAAATCAAGATTGATCTGTCGAGTGTTCATTGTGCAGTATAACCGAGGAACCGGGGCAAAGAAGCGTCGCAGTCGAGCGCACGGAGGAGGCCTTCTGTCTTTGCAGACAAGGGCTTTGGCGCCACCACTTCCGTCAAGAAGGCCTTCAGTGCGGGCACGTGCTCGTGCAGCGCCATCACCTGTACTAGGTCCTCGGCACAGCGTTCCACCTCCTTGTCCATCTCCGTGGGAGACCAGGGCTTCGGACTTCCGTCCGTCGCAATCATCCGCAGCGCTCTCAGCCCTTCCGTGCAGTCTCCCGGAAGCCATAGGCTCTGCAGAAGCTCCAGGACGTGGTGCAGCCGCAGGTAATCCTGCAGCAGCTGCTTCAGGAGGAAGACGAAAACTGCCGGGTTGGCGCAAGAGGGCAAGGAGTTGTCCGTATCCTGATTTCTCTCTGTGGCGAGCACAAGGGTGGCGGTGGACACACAAGAGACTTGTAATATTTGTCTCCGCAATGACAAGGAAAAACTCGCCTATATACTATTGCATAGGCTTTGGTGGTCGTGCTGTATACCTCTCCGATGTGGTTTTTACGGTCAGTTCCTGAAGCGAAACACTGCACATCGTGCCAAACACCGCACGGCACAACCCATCGGAGAGAGCTTGTGTATTATGTGATTTGAGCCCTTTTGGCAAAACCCTGCCTGATGAGGGCCTCTCCAGGCTCTGGGATATTTGAGCAAATTTCAACCCGGTGCTGGTTGGCAAAGGCGGGGAGCACAGAAATGAGCGTAGAATAATATTTGTATAATACAAGCTGGCAGTATGCTTGCCGTACATATATTTTAGTCGCATACTCATGTAGCAAATGTGTTTCGTTACATGCCTTGAGTACAAGCGTATTATCTTCGGATTCCCAGATACATTGATACAATTTGGCATCATGTAGCATTCAAATGCAACCGCATGTCAAGACGCTGTAAAGAAACAGTGGGCATGTTTTATGGAGCAAATGAAGCACTCAGGTCACACAGGTAGAGGGGGAAAAAGGAACGTATTGAGCGTGGACTTTAGCAGAGGCAGTTGACAGCATGAATGACTGGGAAAATTGAGTTCCAGACAATAGCGGCAGCAGAGGAGAATAAGCGACCTCCCACTGATGAAATCTACTGTGTAGGTTGTGATTGCGCCGAGTAGCTCTCCCCGTGTTTTCGGTTTGTACCGCGTTTTGTTCCGAATGACGTCCAATATTTTTCTCCACGTGCTGGAGGCTTCTTCACGAACTGAATATTTGTGAAGCTGCCAGCACGTACAACTGAATATCCCTGAAGAGCGATAACAATGTAGCTATAACTGGCGCTTTGGGTGGCAGGTTCGTGCCAGAAAGGTGCCACGTGGTAACCAAAAATAAATTGACTTGACTTGGACGAGTTTGAATTAATGAAAAATTGTAATGCAGGGGATGGAGAACTTACGACCTTCATGTTCATTGTATGTGGCCCATGGTCACTTCGAAACGGCCCTTTGGGACATCACGTCGAACAGCATACGGTATAACCCGAAAACGCATCGGAGAGAAGGTTGCATTTGCAGCAGTGACAAAAGTGAGGAGGGACGCTTCGCCGACCGGCGCCGTGCTGGAGCAGGAGGCTGGCGACGTCTCCGTGTCCTCGCGCCAAGGCCTCGGACATCGGCGTACGCCCGTCGACGGCTGCGTGCAGGTCCACGCTCTGGCAGCTCTGCAGGATCTCGCGTACGCACTCCAGGCTGCCGTGGAAGCACGCATCGTGCAGGGGAGTCCAACCGGCGCAGTCTGTAGTCAAGCGCACCGGGGCAATCGGGGCTTAGCTCCCAGACACCCCAATTAACTCTCCAGATGCAACGATGCACTCAAAAGCTGGCGGGGGGGGGGGGGGGGGGGTGTGTCGGAAACGGTGCCAATACGCTCAGAAAGCAGAGTCAGTACGAACTCAAAAAATACCAGAACACAGCTGGCAATATCTTTTCGGTAGGTTATAGCGCACTTGGCCGAAACACGAGAAGCAAAAAAAAAGTGCACACGAGTGAAGGCAATAATTTATGCGGCGGCTAGGCTCGGCGCGATACATGTGTAAGCAATGAAAAACACGGGGCGCCCTTGACAAGCGGAGCAGAGCGCCGGAGCGAGCACGCCGCGGCGGCGGCAGCGGAGTGGTTGCGTGGCGGCACGGACCCTGCACGTTGATGTCTGTGCCAGGAATCTCCAGCAGCTGCTTCAGCTTTGCGACGTCATTCTTTATACAAGCCTTGTGCAGCCGGGTCTCACCTGTGGCGTACGATACAGTTACACGCACGGGGTATTTCTTAAGCACGGCTGTAACCGATACGTTATTTTCGTTAGCCGGCTCTGCAAACAAAAAGCCCATAAGTTAAAACTTCAAAGCGCGACTGCCAACGCGCATTTAGATGAGGCAAAAGCACTGTGAACCGCTTTCACAGAAATTGTTAAATATGCAGCGTGGTCATGTGAAAACAAAAATATCAATTGCAATTTTGCAACAACAAAAAAAAGGCAATTTAAGAGGTATCACAAGCAATTTGGGACCGCTACGTTTTGAAAACGTGAACCAGATTTTATTCCGTTTAATTATGTTTTTCAAGCGATTTGACTTCACTGTGTTTTATTAAAGGCATTTTTTGACAAAAATTGGACAACGAAAGGGAAAATAAACAGTATAATGCTGCACCCGGTGTGAAACGTCTAGAAAATGTTACGCTGAAAAGCGCGTACAAAGAGTGTGCTGCCCAAGCGGTTTCGTAAACAGACAGGGAAAAAGAAAAGAAAGATGTATTAATGAACGTATCCACCATAGCTGTATTACAAAATCCCCTTCAGACTTCAACTTTCTTCTGGGGTCACTGTGCAAAAATGTTGCGCATGGAAATAATTTTCTTAACAGCCATGTGATCGAGATGCAGTGCACCTGCAACGTCAGTGAACTGGGCTGACAGCTCTCTGCTGAAGTTTAAAACCGCTCGGATTAAAAAAATATATACTTTCTTGTTATGTCGATTCCACCGAGGAAGGGGCGGGGGGGGGGTGGTAGTAAGGGAGGGGGGGGGAGAAAAAAGGTCAAAGCGAAATGCAATGATGGATGTCTCTTTGCAACCATAAAGCACCATGGGTAACGGAACACCGTTTTACAAAGAAAATTATATTCTGAAAAGTAGTCTGGGCAACGGCGGCGACTGGAAGGGGACGTGTGGAGTGATTTTAATTTTTTGCACGTTCAACAGAAAACCTCGGTGCCGTTCACGGTGCACGGTGAAGCCAAGCCGAGTGATCACCGACCCACCGTACTGTACACGGCACGGCAGCCTTGTACTCCTGGGGAATGCAAGCTCCTATCATCGTTGGGGGAAATACCCGGTGGTGTATGTATTGTTAGTTTGAGCACCTGCAGTGCAATCGTTTCATAAGTGCGTCTCTTGTGGCTGCTGCCTTTACGTTCGTGCGGCAGCATTACCCTTGCTGTTGATGCTCTTGCAAGCGCTGCTGAGTGCGTCCCTATCGATGGTCTCCAGTGTGTTTACATCCGTCTCCTTGGATTGCTTCCTCAACCGTCCCACCAAGCCATCGTACCTACCAAAACAAAGCGCACGTGTTTTGAGCAGACTCGCCGCGGGCAGCAACAAAAACTTACCGTTAAAATTAATGATTACCGAAGCAATTCGTAAAGGTGTATTGCGGGAAGATAAACTTAAAAGCAGCCATCAAGTCCACCACTGGTCCATCTGATTGTTTTCACGTAATTATATTTGCATGTTGTAAGCTAATAGCCGAAAACTAGATTAACAGAAGTTAACCCTTTCCCATTGCGATGACGTACGTGTACGTCATCAGTTTTTCTTCTGATTCCGTTCCTATGACATAAGTGTACGTACGTGTATGCCATTGGAACGGAACTAAAATAAAAAATGAAATAACTTTATCGCTACCGAGGCTCCCACAAGGCGATGCGGGAGGCCGTGGCACAGTTTGGCGCCAGCTATCATACAGTGCGGTCGTGTCGCTACAGTTCTCTGCGTTGAGTACAATGCCTTTAAAAACAATTCCGCTACTCCTCCCTAAATAAAATTAACGTGAACCGCTTACGTGTTCCGAGATTCAGCGGTGAACAGGACCCACCCTGCAACTTGCAGACGTCTCGTAATGGGAAAGAGTTAATCTTACCCAGCCTCGCCACTATTGCCCAATGCCACGTCAATATATAAATCAAAAGCCATGATCTATCTCCTGCCAGATGAAGCCCTCTCAGAGTCGTTACCATCCCTAAAGGGCTACGGATGCCATAATTCCATCTAGATACTGGACAGGAGCTGATCGCATCACTCCATCTCCACACTGGTCATCCTCTTGGGCATGCTTTCTCCGTTGGCTGCCATTCTATTGTTAGTTTCGGGCCATCATTTCTTCTGGCTGCACATCCTGCCCAAAGCCCATACGTGTTTATTAACAGCACGACGTTGCATAGAAAAAGTAACAGATTTCTGTGGACGACGTCCATTCTAATTTGCCGACGCATGAACGGCAATCGAACCCCGCGAGCGAATGCTTGGGAAAGTTTTGTGGGCGCGCAAAAACTGGTCGCTGCATGAGCGAGGCGCGCGATGCCATGCGGTGATGAACTCACAGCGACAAATTGTCCACTTCACCCGTCGCAGAATAGCACCTGCCCTGCTGTTGGCTCACCCGCTCCGCACTGAATCTCTTGATGCAGAAGTAAGCGGTTTTCTGTGGAGGCGTCAGAGACATTCCAAGCAAATGCTCCTATTCAGTCAGCACCGAGCAATTAACTATTCTCCACCAAGCCGGGATTATTTAAGGTGAGCGCACAAAACGCACGTTCGTTTCTTTCTCTCACGGATATTGAGCGCTCTTGAATTGAATAATTGCGTTTATCTATGGGTGGAATGATGCATTCATTCATTAATATCAATTCTTAAGGCCATGCAACATGCATCAAATTTGCACACTTAAGAATATTTTTCAGAGAGTGTAAGCTGTCATGGATTTCCATCACTGCCTGCAACCACTCGAGGTTTGCATATTTAATCGAATTTTAACCCTAGTTCATTTCAAGTATTACTGTCAAATTTGCTCATGGACTGTGATATTTGATGTTTTGTCCACATTACTTAAATGTAAATGTGTACAGCATCTAGAGTTGCTTATAGTACTTAGACGCTATATACATTTTTTGTATTATTATTACCAAACATAGCAATGCCAAAATAGAATTTATTCTCGAATGGCATTGAGAAAATTAAGTGAATCTACAAGCGGTGAATCGTTAATTGTCTATTGATAACACTGTCCACTCTCGATTATCGAGGGTAATGCGGGTAGGGATAGCTCAGAACAAACCAAAAGATAGACAATGCATCATGAGACCTCCTTGTCGGTACCAAAATATCAAAATAGGTTTTTCCCTTTTTTTCTGGCAACAAAACTGAAACATTTTTACAAGCACCGTTTGAGACGAGGCTCAAAAGAAAGCTGTCTCTGGTGTGGACCAATTAGTTTCAAGGGCAATGAATATATTATCAGAGTAGGTTTTTTGTTTGCATTCTGACCACAAGTATTGTGGTTAACGCAGAAACGATTCCTTGTAAAAAGGTTTCAGTTTTGTTGCCAGAAAAAAGGGGAAAAACCTATTCTTATAGACAATGCATACAACACATAATACCAATTAGGCATAAAAAACATCTTAATGTTTACTTACGCAAGAACATAATCAGTTTACTTGCTGAGTGAGGAGCAGCTAATAATCGAATCGGGGCACGAAGATAATTTGTACCCACGTTTGTCGCAAATCTTGCGGTTAATCGGCAGCATGGATAATACCCCTCAACACATTTGATTGCATGGATCTTATACAACGTACAAGAGGGGTGGGCTACTTACAATCTTCGAGAGGCTGATGGGCATCTTCATGACTTCCGATTTGTTTTGCACGAACATGTGCCACAGCAGCATGTCGCACATGTGCATCCGCAGCCAGGGCGACGTGAGGCTTGTCACGAGGGTCTCCAGGGCAGGCTGCGGGAAATCTGCGCGGGCAACAAATTCACAGGGCTGAGAAGCGATACCCCACTTTTTCCCCGCTGGCACCTCCGATGAGTCAACGTGGGGCCATCACAGTAAGGGTGGTTTTCCGCTGGCTATTTTCCATACTGTCCTGGAACCAAACTGTGACGCTCTGGTCTCGCAAGGCCACCTGAATCTGGCTCGAGGCCAAGGAGAGCCCGGGTGGTGGCACCAATGACCCTTCCATTGCATGTGATGCAGTGGAACACCGTTAGTCACGTCGTCATCTACACTCGTCTCCGCTCGTAAACTGCGTGTGACGCGGCATCACCGCATCGTCTTCACGCATCTCGACACGTTCATCGTGCGTGACGTCAGCAGCACGGCTCGGCGTCTGCAGTGTTACCCACTGCCGGTGCCTCCTGAGCCGCACTGAGCTGCTGGTCCCGGCACAGCTTGGATGTGCGGGGTAAAAGAGGTACAAATGCCAGGGTGAAAGCGAAAGCCATACAAGCAACTCAAAGTGTGTGTCGGCAGACATGAGGCACGCTCACATCTTTGCACGCTGTCAAGTCAAGCCCTGTTGGCCTCACAACATGGACATGCAGTTTCCTTGTTCTACCTGAGCACTCTATGGCCATCTGGTTGGCATGCTTTTGTATGTCCTCCATGGCTCTGCCTCGGTTCCACAGGAGGCTGAACTCCAGCACGACCCCTAGCAAGCACTGCACCAGCCGCAGCAGCTGGTATTCTTCTTGCCGAGTTGCACAAACCTGCCCATTCGGAGCAGAGTAAGGATACGGATTTGCATGTATATTGCTGTTGCTTAAAAGACTAAGAACATCAAAGCAGCTTACATCGCATTTCATGTCAATCCTTTTCAGTGCCCTGTGGCAGTCAAACCAAGGCGACACCCAGTGGCAACCATCCCTACACGGCACTAGGTGTACATGGCACTGGCTGGCAAAATAATTAAGTGTGGCATGTGTCTACACGTACAATCAATGTACAAGCTTAATTGTAGCATTACTCCCTTACTGCCCATCCATATGGCCATACACCTCATCCATGATGCAGTAAGTACATGCATACAGCCCTTAAGTCAATCCACTGCTGGATGAGGGACTTCCCACACTGTGCAAGTCCTAGTTATGTAACCCCACTTCGTGAAGTTGGTTTGAGCGGGACGGGTGAAGGAGTGGACCAAAGATATGCAATCATAGAAGTACAGGGGGAAAATAATTTTTACTCCACTGCACTTTGCTACCCACCATGTAGCCATGCAGCCTCTAACACTTCTAATGCATGGTGGTCACCAGTCCAAGCACTATTCAGGCTCAATCCTGGTTAGCTTCTGAGATTGGGCACATTCAGATTTGGTCTCGTTCACTTGGAGGTAGTTTACCAGTCGTATACTAATGGGTACATTGTATGCACCTCACTAATGCATTGATCCTTGTTTGCAAGGATTAATGCATTGGCCCTTGTTTGCAAGGCTTAATGCATTAGCTTCAAGTGCAGCAAAACGTTCGACATTGTGCTGAACAACACATGGTACAACCTGAACACACATAAGAAAGCTATACAGCAGCAAAGGCAAGACACACTATGCAGTAACTGAGTCACATACCCATGCAAGGCATGATTATTAACGTTTCCAGGTCAGAAAAGGGTTCACCCCGTCCACAGGACGGGCTGGCACCACCTTGCATAAAACATAACCCGGGCGATGCGCGAAGTAAGTCGCAGCGCACGTACACTGTTGTTGTCTTGCTGTGGCGTACGGCGGCAGCAGGCGGATCGCAGCTGAACCATGAAGAAGTCGAACTTGTTGGGCGCCAGCGTGACAGAGCCGGAGGAGATGCAGAAGACCTGCACTAAGACCGACGACCTGTTTGGTCGCGAGCAGTGCGATCCTCTCTCCGTCGCCCTGCTGGTCACACAGTGGTGCCACTTACATTTATCCACAAATACAGGCATCGGCAGCACCACTTTCATTCAAAGCGCAATCACATGCACCGGCGGCGCGACTTCCATTTAAGCACAAATACAGACTTCACTTAGCCATACGCGAGAAGATGAAGATAGGCATTCATAGTGCCCACGTGTGTGAGAGTGCATTACGCGTGATTTAAAAGCATGCTCTCTGCAGGCAAATGCATTTGTGTCAATTGTGATGATTATTTTTGGACCGTGTGAGATGTGGCTTTTTTTCTTTTCAGCGGAACCATGCATGATATCGTGAATGTGCATCATTTAATGCTATTTCCTTCTGCTTCAGTACAGTGCGTACAATCAAACATCACATAAACAGTACCGCTATAGAGTAAAACTGGCACGCGTGTAATATCTTGCCGCCAGTGTGTGTCGTCGCGCTCTCATGCTTCTCGTTGAGACGGGGCCACGCGACATGTGCATTGCCAGGGGCAAGGATATAAAACACAAATAGCTCAGTTTCGCTGAAATAATTTGCAATACTCATTTAAAGTAAATTACCTAATTAAGACGAGTAATTAAGTGCTTTGATGGGCATGTGCTGTTCACGATTGGTGGCTGTGTATTTGAGTATTTATCTCCCGCAATAGCATTGGGACCTGTAGCTCCAGTACAGCTGATAGTGCCGTGTTCCATAACAGAACCTTGGAAGCTGCAGACTTGATTGTCAGTAAACGCTTCTGATCAGGCAATGAAATACATCAGGTTGCCATAAGAAATACACTTGACATAAGAAATATACCTGATCAAGTCATGTCATAGAATTGAAAAGACATTTAGAGAATAACAACGGATATAACATATGCAACGTATGTTCATTAGCTGCAAGTACCTTGTGTTCAGTTCAAAGAGCTCAGCTTCAAACAGTTTACAAAAGCAGACCAAGAGCTGGCTGTAGACCTGCTGCTTTTGTCTGGTGCGGTCATCCCCATTCATGCAGGTGCTGCGCCGACACACACACACACACAAGGGACATGCACTTCACCGCTACATCCCAGCACGCAGCCCAAGTAACCATGTGCTCCAACCAACAGCTTAACACCATGACGTAACGCCCCCCCCCCACCCGCCGCCCCCCACCCCACCCCCAGCACCCCACACCCCCAGCCAGCGCTCTCGAAACGCCCATCACCACGGTCTACAAATTCTGCAGCCTAATCACTCAATTACAATATCTGAGAGCCAAGTGTTGTACCTGATGAGGGTCTTAAGCAGAGCCCAGCAGCCCTCGCAATCCTCCGTGTCGTCAGGCATGCGGAGAAGCCACAGGTAATAATCGCTAAACTGCCAGTGGACCCAAGGAGGGTAAATTGCCAGCAGCAAATCGAAAATTCTGCAGAATTGCTCCATTAGCTTCTTGTCGTTTTTCTGCAGAGACACATTGTTTTCGCAATTACACGGGCTGCATATTTGGGCAACCGGCGGTGAAGCAGCAGTGTAATGATAACAGTAAACTGACCATTTTGGGGAGAATGGTGCACAAAGCAATATCAAACAACATGTGGTTATGCTGCCGACTGCTCAAACACAATGATTTTATGCCGATAGCAAAGCTGGGATTACCATTTTCTCGCTAAATGTATCAGAAACAAAGGCTAGTGCGGAAATTGCTTTGGCGCGAACTCACAACTTTATTTAAATGCCCTCAAAAGTGTGAGAGAAAAAAAGCATCAACAAAAAAAGACGAAGATCTCGCTTGTTCACAACCGATTTGTATTCCGAAGGCGAAAGTGTTGTTCGTGAACAATTTATTGAGGTCAGCTCAGCACAGGAGGTGGGAGCAGGCGGCCAGCATGATTCCTGGTGTTACCCTGACAAAGAAGCGCGATGGACTCTTGGTGAACAGCCCTTACTCCACTTGTTTGTAACAGAATTAGTCAACATGAATTAAGCTCTTGGACTAAAGGACATTAATAAGCCGCGTTCACAAAGCGGCCGCGCTGGTTGGTGCCGGGGGGGTTCGAAGTTTTGAAATCCCTTTGAAGTTGCGCTGGGTTTACGCCAGCGTTTCTGTGCACTGCAGATACTAAAACTATCCCGGGAAGGCGCTCAGACTGCTGACTAGACAAAGCTTAGAAAGCACCTCCGCCGGCATGTTAAGTTGCGCTACACCAGACATTTATGTCCGCTTTGTCCTTCCCTTACCCACGTTAATGTGCACTTGAGTACCAGCATTCAGTTCCTTTATGGCCTCCGTGTGAATAGAGCCCCGCAGTAATTAAGAAGTGACGGGGAGGGAACCTCTTACCTTCAGAATGTGCTTTAGAATGTTCTGTAGTGTGCCTGCAGGAGGGCAATAGAGAGGTGACCTTGTCAGGTAGCCCTCAACCTCTTGCAAAGCCTCAAAATAAAAACCACATTCCACCAGGCTCTCCATTTTCTTAGCCGTCAATTCATCCAACAGCCACTGCTTTCCCTTCAGAGCAACCAAGAAAACAAGAGAGAACGCTTCAACAAAAACACGCGCACACGTTCGAGCGTTACATTCAGCTCACAAATAAGCATACCTCTGAAAAGCTGATCGGGTGGATCCGAACGTAGCCTGACGTAATGCTAACATAAGAACTCTAAGGGAGAGGGAGGGAGGGAGAGAAGAGAGAAAATCATTAATTGCTGCGAACCTCAAGGAAATGTTAAATTACGCTTCGATGAAGTTCTGGGTGGAACACATACAATAAAGCCTCGCATATCCGACCGTCACAAATCCACCCGAACTAATTAACCACCTACAACATATAGTGCGTGCTTTCGTATTTGCAGATGTTCACAACCCAAACATTTCACATACAGTACTGCATTTTTATAATCTTGAATATACTGACTTACTTCTAAAGCACAGTAAAGCATTTTCCATGTGCTTTAAAGCGGTGTGCACTGTATTGTTGTTCGCCAACATATTTGTACACGGTGAAAACGTCACAGATGTTGACATTCCCGACTATGCATCAGTCCACAGCAAGCCGGATATATACGACGTTGTACTGTACTCTGTAGCACACTCACATAAAAACGACTGCGGTTTTATGTCGGCAGAGCGTGGGCAAAAATCCCGCGATGAGCAAACACCACGCGCATTACCGAGGCCAATTAAAAACAAATAAGCAATTTGCACTACATTTTAGGCTCGAGTCACACCATGCCTTCATCAACACACAATTTCCATACTGATTCACAAAGTCGGCATAGCATACCTTATTAGATGTGCTCAAGACGTTCTGGATTATTGTACGCATTTCGTTTTCTGGGTCAACGGCACGCGTCTGGGAGGAAAGGTGGTTTTGCTCGCTGCCTGCTGATGCCGGACCCAGGCAATGTGTGAATGCTGGGGGGTTGCTGAACATGCTGCAATGTTTGCTCTCGCTGCCACCCTTGCTAGGTCCCTGGGAACACACCAAAGGTACATTAAGGTTTATAACAAGCTATAGAATCACATCCTAGTATGTGAAACAGACTTGTCTACATGCATAAATGATAAATGCAACTTTATAAGTTGGAGCGATTAGACAACACATAATTAATTTTTTTTAAGGTGATTGGTACGATACAATACATGTTCAGACCTTTGTCAATCCACTGCTGGATTAAGCCCTTCCCTTGCCACATCAGTCATTGGAGTTGTTTGACCACACTTCACCACACTGGTAGCCGAGAACAAGTGAAGATATCCCTCAGCACTGTTAGCCAGGGGTATGAATTTATCTCTGGTCACCGGGTTCATAGTGCAGTGCACTAACCACTGTGCCATCATGCCAATCCATTACTAATTTGAGTGTTATAAAATGCTGGTAAAGTCACGTATATAGAAATAAAATAAAAATTGTATTTCTACATATTATTCAACATATTATTTCTACATACCGAAAGAACCAATGAGCATAGTAATTCCTGAAGTCACGAAAGCTTCAATTGGTCCTTACATTTTTCACGTCATAATTTTACTATCAAAATGCAATGATCAATACGTAACCAAAACATTGTAAGCACTGGTTAAGTAAGCCGCCTGTCTCCTCTTAACCTCTCGTGGAGGTAAGCACATGTACCTGACACTGGATTAGGAAGCAAGGAACATCGTGAAACACAATAGCCCCTCCTCCTGAGAAAGCAGTGCACAAAGCAATGAGTATTGGGACAGCTGTGTATGGTGGTGTCGCAAGGGTTATGTATACTGGACATCTGTGATCAAGAGCTTTATAGCTCAAGATTCAAATATTTACTTTCATCACATGGGGTGTAAAACTCCATTCAAATGTGCTTAGTACAAAATCCACGGAGCATTCAGATGACACAATAACATCGGTAACATCTCGACAATACCTGACGCAGATAGTCAGCGATGTATTTCACGCTATAATGGAGGACGTCAAAGCGACTTGACGCTGAGGGATTTGTGTCGCAGTTGATATCGTTGAGTACGTGTGTGACCACAGCGTCGGAGGTTGGCAGACTCCCTTCGTACACCACAGCCTTCCCTGCTTTCAGTATCCTATGTGCAAAAGGAAACCCACATCCCATGGAAAATGTACACATAGCAACAAAACCCTTCGCAGATATGTAAATATACACTTAAATGGTTGAACAGGTTAGTCCTAGTTTATTGGTTGTACTAGATGGTTATGTTTGCTTATAATACTTTTAACATAATGTAACATAATTGCACATTCGTCACAACAGACCACTTATTTTAGGCGCAAGACTGGAGGACATTTTTTAATTCTGACAACTGTTTGATGCAGGGTTGTAAGTACCAACAAAAGGTCATACCCAATTGTTACATGTTGTGGATTGTTCTCCAACCCACATGCGTGCTGAAGAAGTAATACGATGGCATGTTTGTTCACGGGGAAACTTTATTAATTCGCTATGTCGGCTGGAGGAGAGTGCAAGACCCAAAAATCGATTTTTATTCATATTGGTGGCAAAAACCTCCGTGCTTAAATACGTGTCTTTATTTTATCTTGGCCACCTCTCTGTCCCCATTACCCCAGATAATTGATAGTTGACCAAGCCATCACACAGCGAGCGGCCATGTGAGCTCTGGCAACCGTCACCATATTTGTCCCTGCTGGGGAATATTGAGAATACTGCTCTCCGATGCGTTTTCAAATTGCACCACTTTTGCAACCGAATTAAATTCTTGTTTGGACATGAACTAAAAAAAACTTTCAGCACACGGAGCGAAACAATACGAGTTACAACCCGAAATTACATCTGAGAGCTGTGCAGCACAATAGCAAAAAATACACAAAAGTATTAAGAATATTGCTTGCCTGCAGAACGTAAGTAGCCTGCTCATATCACTTATGTCCAGCACGACTTTCCAGCCCTGGAAGGCTCCCGATGACCCTCCTGACTGGATGTGTCTCCTCCAGTCGCGGGCGACCAGCTCGAAGTCAGATGTGGCACCGCCAGAATTTCCCCACTCATAGAAGCTTTCTTCCAGCCAGAAGCCAGCGCTTGCGCTCTTTCTTAAATAATCCTCCCGCAGAATCCAAACTCCTGCAGGAACACTCACACACACACGGTCCTTCGTTACAAATTGCCTTCACCATGTACAACAGACATGGAACGATTCATCACAACTCCTCCCTTGTCCCCGACACCAGTAATTTTCACATTCTGCGGTAACAAATCCTCATCATCTTAAATTTCGATTTAAAGCTTTCGTGACTGCAGGGATTCATCTTCTTGGTTCTTTGGATAAAGTCACGTAGAATGGAAATAATAAAATAAGTAAATTAAAACATAATAAAATAATTATTTTATTATGTTTTTATTGTCAAATAATTATTTTATTATGTAAAATTTTTATTATTTATTTTATTATTTCCATTCTACGTGACTTTACCATCTTCATCCACTATCAATCCACTGATGGATGTAGCAATCCATATAGCACCTGCAAATGAGCAGATTTCATCGCTCCATCTCCATGGTAAATGTACTCTCAGGCACATTCCCTTCTTTGGCTGTTACTCCGTCAATAGTCTTGACTACCGACAATTATTACTTCTTGCAAAGTGTTCTGCCCAAGCCCACTTACACACTTAAGTGGTTGTGCTTTCGCTACGTTGTCCCCTCCTGAAGAAGGATGCCTGTGTTGCGCCCGAAACGTCGTGATTAAATGTAGTTGTTTTAATTTATTAAATTTAATTTTTTACCTACGTGACTTTACCGAAAAAAACAAAGAGTACAAGGCCACTTACTTAAAAGTCACGAGCTTGCTTTATGTTCTCTAATGGCATTCTCTAAACATGTTCCTCTCTATCTGTAAGTATCTGTAAGTATAATTAACAGCATAACCAAATAATTTAATAATTAATAATAATACATAATTTAGCAAATACATGTGTTCTACTTTCAGTGTTCCTTTCTTTTCTCAGTGTAATTACTTTGTATATGTACATAACATATTAATTACTTCAGTATATCACAAATTGGCCATACATTAATTTGTACTGAATTACCATTTCAAAGTTATGGTAATCCCAGGCATGGATGTTGCATGCTTATTTGCAGTTTTGTTTAAGTATATAAACAGCACCATTCAAACACAGCTCTGCACAAGCACATGTAGCATATATATTATTAATTCCTGTAGATTGTAGATAATTTCATATCATAACAAATATATCACTCATTGAGATTATTAATTTATCTTTGATGGTGCAGTGGTAAGCCCACTGCACTCTGAATCTGGTAACTCGAGTTAGATTACCAGTCTCAGCTAATGAGTAGTGACTTATATATTGGCTTCTCCCACCTTCACCAACACGCATTGACTCGCGTCGTAAAGTATAGTTCAACAACCTCCATAACCAACACGGCATCTGAAGGCCTTTATCCAGATGAAGGGAAAAATAACAATTAACTTGATAAACATGAACACAACACTAGGCCTAACAGTACCAACCACCCCAATGACAAAATTGTATTCATACCTGCAGCACAGGCTGAGAGATATTTCTCACTGTAGTTCGGTTTCGCAATGATCATGTGCGTGCAATCTGTGTCAAAAACCTGAGAAGACCCATGACATAAACAGGAAAAACCATGTCACTTGAGAAGGCAATTGTATAGATCTCATTTTGAACGGTCGTGCGATTAAACTGAGAAATGTTGTATCCACATTTGGGGCCATCCTCCAATGAGTGTTCATCAAATATATATCTTTTTAAACTACCTTTTTCATTATCAGTCAATTAAGCAAATGAAGGTTAAAGATATATTTTAAAGGATATTTGTTGTACTGTCATTGGTGAACAGGCACCGATGCTGCAGTTGTAGCATTTGGTAATTAAATAATGCTGCCACATTTTTTCTTCTTCTAAATTTGGTGGCATGATGCAAATAAACATGCAACATTCTGCCTGTAGCACAGAGGTGGACAAGTGGTGACTTAAGTCAACTTTCTATTAACCACAGCCCAAAATGGAGATTCAACATATGAGGCCCCTTAAAGTAAGAAGTTCAGATTTACTTACATGTATTACTCTTACTTTTTCAACAACGAAGATAAACACTGCTACTACATAATGATCGTGATATAAAAAAAAAACACTTCATCATTCATAAAATATACATTTGTGAAAAAATGTCGATTCAATCTTGTTTTACACCGTTGAAGTATAAAAGGACCAGATGACTGCATAAGAAGTATGCACAAGCACCTTGCCAGGCAAGACGCGTCCCTCCAATTTCAGAATCAACTTCTCCAGCTCAACTTTCATCGTCCACACAAAGCCAGAAATCTGGAAATTCCGGAAATGATCAGGAGGCAGCGCCATCTGCTCCACAAGAAGAATTGTTCAGAGAATTAAACAAACTTGATTTGTGACGCTGCATTGATGGAGGTGCACAACTACAAAACAACAAACAATACAGCATGCATTCGTCAATAACACTGCCCTGAAAGAAAAAACATATCATAGGTGACGTGTCAGGCAAGGACCCTTCATCAGAGCACATAGAGAGGCCAGAGACAGTGGCTAAGCATTAGAGACTGCACTTTACACGATGTGGCCTGATAAAAATCTAGCTCATATTTTTTTTCCAGATAACCAGTTTTTTTAATTCAAATTTTAACAATCAAAATATAAAAAACAAAAATTGTATTAAAGTCAAATTATAATATGACGGTGGCACATTGCATTATGGGAAGAATTGTGTTTGTGAGGTCAATGGATAACATACTTACTAATACATTCCTGGGATCAATTATCATATCAAACAGGAAGAGTCGATGGGACTGTGCGTGTCCTATATTGCTGGACCTTGCAAGTGGGATAGAGGCATTTATGGGAAGCTATTTGAATATAAATCTAACGTGAAAAAGTACACCAAATATTAAACCAAAAATTTACGTGTGTTTCACACTTAATAACAATAAAGCTTTAGGTGAAGGTGAGACATTAAGTTCTACCAGGTGAACAGTATTCGGTTTCATTGTTCTTTTTATGGTCTCATTCCTACCTGAAATTATCAGACTTGATAATGCCTACGTTGACAGAGTGAATCCTCGTGATAATCACACGGGAATTCTTATTCATCCAAAGATTAAAATTTGAACGGGTGGAGGGGGTCAAGGACATGGCAAGTCTATTCTTTAATCCTCATTACAAAAAAAAAGTTTAAAAACATTATCAGTGGTAATGTAAGTTTAATCATTGCCTCCTTGCTGTAAGGCTTATTTGAATATCCCAAGTGGGGATTCCCAATTACCTTCTGTAATGAGTTACCAGCTGCGTGGCTACCCAGTGTGCGGGCAGTGCTATTGTACTGGGGGCCAGAAGAGCGAATGTGCCAGTCAACGAAGAATGGGGTAATCTGACAGGTGGTATCCCATTTCATTCCTTACACCATGCTAGACCACTGAGCATTAGGTACAGCAAACTGTAATAACGATACATCGAAGCATCAAACTTAATTAATGTACATGCATGGAAGTCTCTCAGAAATTATTAAGCGTTATTTCGTTTTTACAAATTACACTCAAACGATATGGGGGAAAAAAAAAACACAAAACAAGGCACGGCCATCGATCCTTCTTAATTCATGGAATCCTTCTGGGTGAGGGCAGTAAATTTTGCTGGCACCCATTGGCCAATGTTGTCTGTCTGGAGCATGGCTGTGTGCTACATCTGATATTAATGCAAAAAACTAACAGGACGCTCTGCTGTGATAGGGTTTAGGGGAAAGGCCAATCTTGTTATCATTGATGCACATACTTTGATGGAGACATGCAATGCAAATGAGGTATGTACCGTATCCTCAGTGTGTTGGATACATGTTTTTGAAATCAATGAACGTGCCAATCCACTGCTAGATGAGTGCCTCCCCACACCGTGCTGGTCATGAGATTATTTGCTCACGCCGTTACCACGCTACTCAGCACGTGTTGGTGAGGCCAGCCAGCACAGACGTGGAAGCACATCGGCCCTCTGCAGACAACAATCTCTGCAAGCCTATAACGCCTGCTATGTACGGAAGGGGTGACAACCAAAGCACTATGGCAGGATCAACGTTACAAAAAAAGTCGTAAATTAAGGCACGTGTTCATCATCTACGCAAATGACAAATTACCACCCTACATGTTTGCTCTATGTATGTGAGATGATATGGTTGATTTTAAAATATATATCTCAACCCCAAAATCTGGCAAGACCCTCCTAAACGTTGATTCAGCGCCGGCTATGGCAGGGATGCGTGTGCTGGCTATGACGATTTCTTTCCAATTCTAATTCAAACATCAATTACACGTAGATTTGTGGCCCAGAACGTGATTGTAACGATGAATAACTTACAGCGCACTAATTGCAATAGAAACATCCGTGGTTTGGCGACGGGGCGTGTGATAATTACGTGAATCGACAAAGTTTTATGTATAAGCAAACCACCACTGCCGCTCCACCTAAGTGCGAATTCTTTGGCTCCTCTCAGCCAAATGACCTCGCGGGACCCCAAAGCAACAGCATTTGGACTTATTTCGACCTTCCCGGGTCTCATCAGCCTGTGAGGCTCGTTAAATACTTTTGGATAAACCAGTGGGGGGTAATCTATATATATAATGGAAATCTATATCTATAAAAGGGAAATTTGTGAATGTGTGTCTGTTCGAAATGTTTAGCATACTTCCCGACATGCTACAAACTTGAAATTTGGCATGTGGGTAGCTTCCAGACTGTACACAATGCAAAAAGTATAAAAATAGACTTTTGTATTTTGGGGGGCGCAATAATGGGTATATTTTGCACGGCAATTGATCCTCACGCGGCAGTGTTACGCAATGTGCCTGCAAGACATCAGCACTCAGGAACCCCCCCCCCCACAACCTCCACCCTCGGCCGGGATATTAATTCAAGACAAGAATCAAAGTGCCTGGCTAAGCCGGGTAGGTAGTTGAAGCTCGTTCTGGATAAAGCAGGGGATTGATTCCCCCATCTCTCAACTATGGGGCCCTTGAACGCACAACATGCATATCGTATAGGCCAAGTCAACATGCGTGATTGTGCGGAAATGTGGACTGCTTCTGTCTCAACATTCAATTCACATTTGATATTTTATTCCGTTCGCCGTATTATTTTTTTCCAAAGCATTATCAATTAATCGCTGTACTTTTCCATTAGTCGGCACGCGTCGTCAGTGTACACACAGGCACGCACGCACCCCCAACGGGTTTAATAACAAACCGCGCACAAACCCGCATGTCAACGAGACACAAGAGTAATCGATTTCCGTCGAAGCGTACCGTGGAGTTGCCCACACACCACCACCACCACTACCACACCGCACGCGCCGCGAACTTCAAAAGCCGCCGGTCGACATCGCCCATTGGGGGTCAACTTGTATCCGGTGACGTCAGCCGCGTTGAGAAATCGTAGACCGGATTAGATTTAAGGGGGCGGGGCTTGGCCAGATCAGCCAATCGCGTCGCGGCTTTAATGTTTGGCTTTGACCAATTGGAGCGCGTTGGAAGCGACGCTAGGCGTGCGAGCGCGCTAGGAAATGTAAACGCACGTTTGTTATAAATGTTTGTTGTTGTTTTGGGGCCGTGCATAAATGACGTCACGCACCTAAAGAGGGGGGGGGGTCAGACATTTGTATGACAAGGGGGTGAGAAATGTGACGTCACATCAAAATGCGAAACTTTAAATAAATATAGACAACACGTTCCACTTAATACTGGTAGGAACCACCTGGTTCCACCAGCCCACAGGGGATTATTGTGTCCGTCCGTCGTGCATCCAAAAATGTGAGGGGTGGGGCTGGGTGGGGAGGGTGGGGAGGGGCTGGGTGGGGGGTGGGAGGGGTGGGGCTGGGTGGGGAGGGGCTGGGTGGGGAGGGTGGGGAGGGTTGGGTGGGGAGGGGCTGGGAGGGGAGGGTGGAGAGGGTGGGGCTGGGTGGGGAGGGTGGGGCTGGGTGGGGGGTGGGAGGGGTGGGGCTGGGTGGGGAGGGTGGGGAGGGGCTGGGAGGGGAGGTGGGGAGGGGCTGGGTGGGGCTGGGTGGGGAGGGGCTGGTCACCCCGTGGTGCCCTTATAAAACTCAACGTTTAACCTACTCACGCCGGCTTGTGCCTGCCAACACAGTCGGCATATTTGCGGAATACACCACGCCGCCGTTGACCCTGGCCATTGACCGAGCAACCCAACGTTCCTACCAGCTCCCTCCGCAGGAATGTGTTTAAATTGACTTTTTAATAAATGTTTTCTCCTACAAAATCAGAGTACAGCGCCACATTAATACGTCCTACAATGACAATAGTTGAAAGCGATTTTTGGGGGGGGGGGGGCAGAGCTTTGTGACGTCATATTTGAGGGGTGGTATGACTTTTTGACGCCGTGTGATGGGGGGGGGGGTAAAAAATCGTCTAAAATCGCGTGACGTCATTTATGGACGGCCCCTAAGCCACTGTTGAGATGTTATTTGTGGCGAGGTGGCTTCTGAAAATTAGTTAAATGGCTCGGTGGGCTTTACCTGGTAGGACAAAAGATAGATAAAAGGGAAATAATAACATAAAAAGAATAAACCAATATTATTAAAAAAAATTATAAATAATAAAACTATATTATTTTATTATTTCCCTTCTACGTGACTTTACCGAAAGAACCAAGAAGATGAATCCCTGCAGTCACGAAAGCTCTAAATCAAAAAATAGATACTGTAGTTGCATATTTTTTACGTGATTAGTTTACATCTCCTATACTCGGAACTGACTCGTGTTTTTGGATGTGTGAAAAAGAGCATTGTAAGCTACTTTGGTTTTTTCGGTAAAGTCACGTAGGTCAAACAATAAAATAAATGAAAACTAAATTAAATCACGACGTTACCTACGTTTTACCGAAAAAAACCGAGTATCAATCCTTGCAATCACGAAAGCTTCAAATCTAGACTGAAGCTTTGTAGTTCATCGGATTCCCTCCAATCACAGGTCCTATGATCACTGTTACATTGTTTTTATAGCTTTATTTTGGTGATTTCGAAAACGTATGGTTTAGCCATGTTTGTTTGTTGAAGTACAGAGTTATCCTGATAACTTTAAATTGTCTTATTGTTATTGTTTGACTTGCATCCCACTGGGATTTTTGCACACAGCATTGATATACTGTGTTTTTTTCTGGAAGACTTTGCTGTTTTTTCCTTGATTTTTCTGCGTAGTCACTTTAAGATGTTCTTTGTTCATGTTTTTGTTTGTTGCGATTGCACCCGAGTCAAGAGAGCCGCACGGCTCACAAGTCGAAATGAAACTGAAAAAAAAACTAAAAAATATTTTCTCGAGACGCACGACACTCGCGACGTCATCGCCCGTGAGGCCCCGCAAGCGGCCATATTGCGTGGGGGAGACGCGCGCGTGATTGGCGTGTGGCCGATGCGACGTCACGTGACGGCGATGGTCGCCCCCCCCCGCCGGTAGCAATATTGAGTGGGGCGGGGGGGGGTGTAAGGCTCCCATAGCAATATGGCCGCCGCTCGTCCCCTCCGCGTGGTTGCGCATAGTCGCGCCACCCCCATGTCCTCACCATATCCCAGGGTAACGGAGACGCGGAGACTCGTGGAGGTAATGCCGATGACAGGGATGTGTGTGTGTGTGCTGGCTATGGCAGGGCTGTGTGTGTGAGCTGGCTATGGCAGGGCTGTGTGTGTGAGCTGGCTATGGCATGGCTGTGTGTGTGTGCTGGCTATGGCAGGGCTGTGTGTGTGTGTGCTGGCTATGGCAGTGCTCTGTGTGTGAGCCGGCTATGACAGGGCTCTGTGTGTGTGCTGGCTATGGCAGGGCTGTGTGTGTGCTGGCTATGGCAGGGCTCTGTGTGTGTGTGCCGGCTATGGGAGGGCTGTGTGTGTGTGCCGGCTATGGGAGGGCTGTGTGTGTGTGTGCCGGCTATGACAGGGCTCTGTGTGTGTGTGTGCCGGCTATGGGAGGGCTGTGTGTGTGTGCTGGCTATGACAGGGCTGTGTGTGTGTGTGTGCTGGCTATGACAGGGCTGTGTGTGTGTGTGCCGGCTATGGCAGGGCTGTGTGTGTGTGCTGGCTATGGCAGGGCTCTGTGTGTGTGTGCCGGCTATGGCAGGGATGTGTGTGTGTGCCGGCTATGGCAGGGCTGTGTGTGTGTGCTGGCTATGACAGGGTTGTGTGTGTGTGCTGGCTATGGCAGGGCTGTGTGTGCTGGCTATGACAGGGCTGTGTGTGTGCCGGCTATGGCAGGGATGTGTGTGTGTGTGCCGGCTATGGCAGGGCTCTGTGTGTGTGCCGGCTATGGCAGGGCTCTGTGTGTGTGCCGGCTATGGCAGGGCTCTGTGTGTGTGCCGGCTATGGCAGGGCTCTGTGTGTGTGCCGGCTATGGCAGGGCTCTGTGTGTGTGCCGGCTATGGCAGGGCTATGTGTGTGTGCCGGCTATGGCAGGGCTATGTGTGTGTGCCGGCTATGGCAGGGCTCTGTGTGTGTGTGCCGGCTATGGCAGGGCTGTGTGTGTGTGTGTGGCTATGGCAGGGCTCTGTGTGTGTGCCGGCTATGGCAGGGCTATGTGTGTGTGCCGGCTATGGCAGGGCTCTGTGTGTGTGTGCCGGCTATGGCAGGGCTGTGTGTGTGTGTGTGGCTATGGCAGGGATGTGTGTGTGCTGGCTATGGCAGGGCTCTGTGTGTGTGTGCCGGCTATGGCAGGGCTCTGTGTGTGTGCTGGCTATGGCAGGGATGTGTGGGGGTTGTTTGACCAATGCTCTAACCACGTCGGTGGTGAGTGCGGCTTGGTGATGTTAGCTGTGGCCAGGAATCGAACACCAAGGATTATATCAACCTTATAATTCCGAGCTTACAGTTGGGCATTAGGATGTGTAAAGTTACTCTGTCGAGCAATGCAATTGCATGTGATAAGCTATATGCAAACGTCATGCTATTGGCAATTGCCCATGTAAATACATTAAAACTCACACGCGATCTCGCTTACCCGGTAATATAATCAATTGCCAGTGCTGTTTAATATCGCACTTTAATGATGTAGAATGGTATAAGTGCACTGCGCTACAAACCACACGACCTGAGTTTGATTCCTGGCCACTGATAACGTTGTTGGCAAGGCATATCTGAAGTAGTCCTGGGGACCCCTCATTCACTCAACCCACACTTACCAGCGTGGTGAAGTATGGTCAAACAACCATGATGACCACGGCCAAGGGCTGTAAATTATATTACAATCAAGTATGAAGAATATTCCACTATGAGATCTCCTTTACCAGTGGCAAAATATAGTAATATGTTTTTACCCTTTCAACTGGTACAAAAACTGACACCTTTATACAAGGCATAATGTTTGCAATAACCACAACACAAGCAGTTAAAATGCAAACAAAAAGAAACAACTCTGATGATGATAATGATATGCACTGTCCTTGAAGTTGATTGGTCCACACCCGAGACAGCTTTTCTTAGAGCCTAGTCTCCATTGGTGTTGGACCAGATGACACCAAAAGGCGTCATATCATTATCATCATCAGAGTTGTTTCTTTTTGTTTGCATTTTGACTGCTTGTGTTGTGGTTATTGCAAACATGATGCCTTGTATAAAGGTGTCAGCTTTTGTACCAGTTGAAAGGGTAAAAACCTATTACTATAAAAATATTCCAATTACATTAAAACATGCACTTTTAAACTGAAGGTATTGCATGACATTGTATTCAAATGTTGTACCTGCAGGTTGTTTGCAGCAAGTCCTGCACTGATTGTGTAGTCTGCGATGGAGGGATTTGGAGACCCTTGCGTGCTGCACAAAGTCTTGTCCGTCCTCCATGAGAACACGGGAGAGCACGAGATGCAGGAGCTATTGGAGCACCTCAACGCTGAACTCAAAGAAAATGCACACATGTGAGTGTGATAACTCATGACATGTTCTACGTCTATGTAAGGGGATATTCTATTCTTGCGAACGATGACAATATGTGTAGGAACTAGATACCAATGTTCGAGGACTGCCTGCCACGACGGCAAGTTTTTGTGTGTACTCATACTTCGATTTGAAGCTTTCGTGACTGCAGGGATTCATCTTCTTGGTTCTTTCGGTAAAGTCACGTAGAAGGGAAATAATAAGGACGGCTGCTTGCGTTGTGGCCGAAACGTCGTGAGAATTATCTTATTATGTTTAAATTTATTATTTTATTATTTCCCTTCTACGTGACATTACTGAAAGAACCAAGAAGATGTACTCATACTCTTAGGTTTTTTTTCGGTAAAGTCACGTAGGAAAATAAAACTAAATAAATAATGGACATAATTATAGAAATAAAATATTATATCTTTTATTGTTTATATAAAGAAATAAAAAAATAGAAATAATAATAGAAATAAAATATTATTTTATTTTTTATTTTTTCCTACGTGACTTTACCAAAAAAACCTAAGAGTATGAATCCTTGCAGTCACGAAAGCTTCAAATCTAGAAGTTTTGTGTGTAAGTTTTACTATCCCGCCTCCATTGAATTAGCGCAGGCGACAGTGGCTTTACTATACGGTCCATAGTTTGGATTGCATGGCTACAATCGCACTCCTGTGTCTCATCTTTAATTTTCAGTACGGACAATTAACTCGATTCTCCCGTGTAATGGGGGGAGATGGGTGGCCCGGATGAACACAAAAATGCTAAACATGCCAAATCGGCAAATTAGGATATTGTTTACATATATAATTGGGGTGAAGAATGTGTCGTCTGTTTTCATTGCTTATAGTAATCGGTTTACTCACCGACAGATAAGTGGTCATGTGGCCACTCAGTCACAGACTCTTGATGAGTAAGTGAGAAGCAGCTAATAGACCAGCTTGCGTAACATTTTTTCATTATTTTTCGCAAGCATGGTTATTGGTTAATCCGCAACCTGATAATCAATGTTGTGGATTTACTCTGAAGTGGTAACTAATTGGCGTGTTGTTTACGCGACAAACCTTACTGGCTGTGTCGGGTGGTAGAGGGTTAAGATGCATTTATACTGACACGATCTCACCCAAAACCTTTATTATGGATTAACAGTATGTTTGTCATTTTGTATGTATGTCCAGGGAACTCCCAGACCGCTCCACTAATTTTGTTGAATTAGTAATTTTAAAGCTTATGATTTGTATATTATGCAAACGTGGTCGAAATTATTAATAAGTTTGACCCTTGACCAAATAATATGGCTGATTCATCTCATTGGCCCTGGCATGGCTCATTTGCTCTCCTGACATGTGACATAAGCTTACAAAGGATATGTACGTGCCATATCTCAAAGGGCTTCTCACAATAATATTGTGCCATCACATCTTTCCAGTTTAGCACCAAAGAATCTTTGAATATGCTTATATGATTTATTTAATATTTGTCTATTGCCATCAAACTGTAAATGTAAGCAGGTGCTGTATTGGGATTGCTAAGTTGGGACTCGCAATCAAAAGCAGTGCCTTTTCATTTTGGCGATAACCAAACTTTTTTTTTACAAAAGCGTACATTTTAAAAGGAGAGTTATGTATGTATATTCACGCGCATTCCAAATAGCAATTTAAGCCAAGCGGTTAAAATGTGCCATCGGTGGTGTTTAATTAGGATTGTACGTTTGAGATTTCTTCAGTGCTCACAAGGGAATACGCAATAAAAATGACACTTTGCATCTTTACCTCCCAGCAGTGGCAACTAATTCCCATTCAAGCGCTGATTTGACACCAAGTTGATTGGGTGTGAAATTCAATAGCCCCCCACCCCCCCCCTGCACTATGCATAATGACAAGTTCTGTACGCATTGTAACTTTAAGTATGCCACCAGAAATTGTGTCAACAGTGTTATCTGTTGTTGGCCTGTTTTGTGAAATTAGCAAACGTTCTCATAAATTGGAAAGAGCCTGGAAATATCTGCTGATGATTGCACAGTGGCTTGAGTAATGCGGCACCACTATCCGCAGCCAATTATTTTAAACACCTAGGGCAGCTCCATTCGGGTTTCTAAGCGATGACCTTCATAAAACAATTCCTAAGGACATTGGGCCCTCCTTGTTAGCTGCTACAAAGCGTTCCTATTAATCCTTCTGTGTAGGCGTACAGGTTAATTAACACATGAAAACTGAAATTATATTGGTGTTAAGAATAAATACATATACAGTACATAAACTTAATTATCTATCCATAGGACTTGTTTTTTTTGTCTTTTATCGGGTTGTCAATTACAGTGGTTCAAAAGCGCCTTTAAATTTTTTAGACCATTAACTACGTGTGGCGCATGGACTCGCTCATCATCTCTCTAGAATGAAGCAGATGTAGCCTGCCTGCAATAATCCGGAGCATAAGTTGTAAATTAAGCGCATGTAGGATAACAGTGGGTGTGAAATATAACATCTCCCTCTCCAAATGTAGCTTTGAAGTTTGTTCACGACTTTGAGAATGCGAGCTCCTAATGTTGAAGAATCTTCAGTCTAGTTACAGGGTGTGTTACTGAGACATGTGAGTGCTGCACGTGATTAGGCTGGATTTGTCCTATTTATATCTTCATCATCAAAGGATGAAACTCTTACGTATTGTGCTCAGAACTCTAATGAATAAAATGGCTTAAGTTCATCGTAAAATATGTTTCATGCCTTAGCTTCTTAGCATCTCCATATGAAACGGGTCTTTGTGTCTTTCCCCATAGGTTCCTTTATTATTTATTAGAATACTTAAAATATTTAACGTATATGCGTACATACAACATCGACGCGTATAAACATGCCACTTTGCTTCAATATTGTACTTATTACGGCAATTATTTGGAATATTTCCTGGCAGGTTGTTGACATAAACATATACTATGTTTAATTACATCTTAAAAAATTAAGTTCTGAATAAATATTGGTAGCGTTGTATTGTGCGTCGAATTCGAATATTTATATTTCAATAGGACAACCATCTGCTTTCTATCAGTTCTTGTATATTTTATAAAGTTGACGTGATAGACTGAGTCAGTTTTCATTTATGGAGCTCCCGATGCCTTATGTTGTGTAATGTAAACTATTAATTATTCATGTATTATTCTTGTTTAGCGCTGGTCACACAACTTACAATTACAATTGGCACATGGCAAAACATACGGTTTGTTATGGAATGTTGCGTACAATACCGCAAGTGGTATTGAATATCAATCGCCGTAATTTAATTTGTGTGTTTGTTATGCATTGAGCATTGTGCATACATATGAATCTTTAAACATATCCCAGCACCGCTTCATAGATTTTAAGAGATGCTTAGTGATAGGCCAGCATAGCATATTTATCAGCTCTAACTTGGTTAGTATTGTGTATTTTTACGATGGAGTATTTTTTGTTGTTGCGATTGATGCATATGAATTAGATTCGTTGTTCCCGATGTTTCTGAACCAGTGGACCTGCTGTCCACTCGAAAAAAACATTTTCACGGACCAACATGCGGTAAAGGATACGGTGCTGTGTGAACAAAAAGTCTTGGTATCTGCAACAGTTCTGCAGACCACTTCCCATGGCCTTGCAGTCCACCAGTGGCCCACAGATCACAGGTTAGGAACCAATGAACTAGACGATGCTAAATTTCGATTTAAAGTTTTCGTGACTGCAGGGATTCATCTTCTTGGTTCTTTCGGTAAAGTCACATAGAAGGGAAATAATAAAATAATAAAAATTCAACATAATAAAATACAATTCTCACGACGTTTCGGCCACAACGCAAGCAGCCGTCCTCAGGTGAAGAACAGGTCTGTCGGAAAGACAGCGTCTGAATGAACACCACCAAGCTTGGCAGCGTATATTTAAGCTAAATTCCTCTGTTGATTTAAGCTAAATTCCTCTGTTGATATGCAGATTCCTTTGTCAAGGCGCCTTTCCTCCTCTAACCCAGCTTAAATATACGCTGCCAAGCTTGGTGGTGTTCATTCAGACGCTGTCTTTTCGACAGCCCTGTTCTTCACCTGAGGACGGCTGCTTGCGTTGTGGCCGAAACGTCGTGAGAATTGTATTTTATGTTTTATTTTTATTATTTTATTATTTCCCTTCTACGTAACTTTACCGAAAGAACCAAGAAGAGAGACGATGCTCCTTGCGAATAAAATACAGTTGTCTAATATAGCATCGGTGTAACAATCTAGATTAAATGTACGTCACATCAAATTCATCTTGCATCATCGTTAAAAAGACAATGTGTTTTTTTATACCATGCATTCGGAAGCAATGACAATGACAAAATACAGCGAATGTAAAAGCATGTCAAAGCGTGGGGTAAGACTGTACCAAAGCATATGATCATTACCTAAATGCCTTGATGTAGACCTTTTGGTTGAACTTTTAAATAATCAATGTGCTAGGTTTTTCAATCTGACTTTAATTAGCCTGTCATTTTTTTTGTATGTCTTTCAATTGGATCGTTGCAGCTTGGACAAGGGTTCGGTTATGGAGAATTGTTACATTTGTGTTGCACACGATGACTGCAAACCATCCTGTGCTGGGTGCAAATTCTTTTTACGTAATGCAGCATCTCTGTTCACCTGCAAAGAATTAAGCAAATTCATCCATAATGGTTGGAGGTGATATGGTGTCTGAACAGCCTTGATTGCTGTATTGTGTTTTTTAAGCACCGCAATAAAAGCAAGAGCATCATTTCACAAAATAGCTGTGCATTTATATCATCAGTAGTGTAGATTGGTTGGCATTAAATTCCCCTCACCCTCCCACTCCCCATCCACCACTCGCCCACACGTACCCCCTCTTAGTATACCAGAATCTGGGTCCCACTGGTCGCAGGCCTTGGTGCAGTTGCACTGCCTGCACACTTGGTAGCAACTCCGCTGCATCTATATGCCCCGTTCGGCATCGCTGTCCAATTTTTTGTTTGGGGCGAGCGCTCAGAGCTGGTGATCCTCTGCTGAGTGCGAGGAGTGTGTGTATGTATGTGTACGAGCGGATAGCGTAGCGGTTAACGTGCTGTGCTATGAATCCGGCGACCTGAGTTCGATTCTCGATCACGGCCAACACCAGCGACGATTATCTTAACCGGTCCCGGGCCTCCCCGGGCGTGATGCTGGCCACCCACCCCATTGTGTGCCATTCCGGCGATCATAGGTGCTCGCTATAAGCACTTACCTCAACAGTCTGTTAAAGGCTTTACGGGGGATCTTTGTCTTTGTGTGTCACTGCAGGATTGAGCGAGGGCTGGAGGAGATGGGAGCGGAGTTGAGCGCTGCGTTTCCAGGAGACGAGCCTCCTGCCAGGGCGGCGGAGCAGCTCGCCTGGCTTGCCCGCAAGGACATGGGGTCGCTGTGGCCCTCCCAGACGCCGCAGCCCGAAGTCGCACGCTTCCTGAGCGAAATAGTGTGTGCAACTTGCGGAGAGATATCTCATTGAAACACAATTACCCGTTGGCCCCAAGTGGAATGTCTGTGTGCATTTTGCACTGGCCCTGTAATAGGTATAAAGGTGCAGGCCTGCAATTTACATACAGGTGCCACTGCGGTATCGTACAATACCGCTGAAGGTGTTTAGTTTGTTATCCCTCCCCCACACCTCTGAATAGCATGGTTGGCTACTTACGATGCGAAAGAAGTTCAACATACGAAGGGAGCCCACCAGAGAGTATTTTGGTCTACTCTTCCACACTGGCCAGTACGTCTTGGACCAGCTGGGAGTACCCACATTGTACCCCGCCACCCACGACCCGTTGTTCTACTAATTGTTGCATACATATTTATGCTGCGGGGGTGAACAGAGGTGAGTGTATTAAAAACTCTTGCCCATTGCAACTGCCGTGCTGCGTATTGAACTGATGACCTTTGGATCCACTGCACTGTAATTTATTAAAAATGAGTGCAAAGTTAGTACAGTGAATTGCAGTACAGGCAGCACCGAATGACATTTCAGCGAGGTAAGAAACCACGGTGGAAATAATAACTTTGAAAAATTGCCCTGTAACAAATTGTGGTTGCAGTCATACAACCGTAGTCTCGTAAAACAGTTAAATATGAATATTTAAGAACTATGTCTTCCTGGTATTTTGTTTATTTCTTTTCGGAATGAATGGTGTGGGGTGTGGAGTGGTGGCACATTGGTTTTTGACACTACACTCTGAACCCGGCCAGCCGAGTTTGATTCCCGGCCACGGCCGACATCAGCGGCGAGTGATATCTTCACCAGTCCTGGGTACCCACTTGACCATCCTTTATCTAACATTATGGTGAAGTATGGTCGAACACTTCCCATGGCTGACATGGTGTGGGGAGACTTTCATGCACCAGTAGATTGAAAAAGGAGCAGACATGTTTTGTTCATTTGTTTACTATATTAACTTTTTAGGAATTCATAAGTGCCAGTTAAACTTTTAATTATTAGCACAGTAATTTAATATTTAGCTTGGGTCAAGGGCATGTAATATCGTAGTCATCAGACATTTATTAGTTGCGGAGGCTTCTCAATATGAAGGGTCGCTAATCATTTCAAACATTAACTACAGTAATTTGATTATGAGTGAAATATTAATCTCCATTAATAATGTATGCATACTCTACCTTGTCCAAAATCATGCTCTTATTCTTCAGTGGAGAGCAATCTGTTTATTTACAATAGCTTGGGCATGTGCAACAACATGATGTTGAAATTGCACATCAGTAAACAAAGAGCCCGTAATGATAGTTGCCACAGTAACAGTTACATCGTACAATTTTGATTAGAAAATTCCTAAAGCTGTCCTGTACTCAGAGAAATATGTATTCTTGTTTACCATGTGAAAAAAAAATGTCTCAATGCATTCCCACATGGCCGTGAGGTGGCCATGAGATGGCATGTGTGCATGTATTTTTTTTACTGGATACTCCAGTATACTCCCACCTGCAGCCGAAAAACGAATTCATGAAATTGGCCTAATACAGGACCCTCCTGAAAAAAGTCTGGAGACTACATTGAGGCTAAATGTGGGTAAATAATAATTATCATTTTAAAAATCAATAAATGGGCAATGATGACGAATCCCATTCTGTTTGAAACACCCAAGCATGGAATTTTTTAAAACTAGTAACACCTGCTTCTTTTGGCTTTTAAATATCTCATTCTGAAAAAAATGCTTTGTGTGTATTCCTGTATATATACACAAACACCATAGTTGGTTCAACTATGAATTTGTACAGCACTTTCTGTCCATCTACTGCTGGATGCGGGCCTCCCCATGCCATGTGGGTCGTGAGGGTTATTTGACTATACTTCACCACTATGGTCAGTGTGGGTTGGTCAAGACGGGCAGCGTAGATGTGGCAGCATAACAGTTCACTGCAACATGTATTTTACTGCTGTAAACCAAGGAGCCCCCACAGCCTTATGATAACCTGTCTGTGCATTGTTGTCACCCGTCAAAGTACATGGTGTGTATTATGAAAGTATCTCCAATATATTTATATAATATATTGGGTGTATTTGTTACTTGGGTATACTTTTAAAATACACACCCTGTGCTGTCCAGGCTCATCCCTGCTTATTTTCTGAGATTCACTGAGATCGGGCTAATTCTGGCCATTTGGTCATAAGTGTGTCATATTGTGCATGTGTCCTTTAACTACCCACTCTGGGTGCGGTCGATCTAATGCAGAGGTCAGCAACCTGCAACTCCAGAGCTGCATGCGCCTCTTTAAGGACTGCTTCGTGATGTCATTCACATGCATTGCGGCTCTTAAAATACCGAATTCTCAAAAAATGTCTCTCATTGTTATTTTGGTTGCCGACCCTTGATCTAATGTGATGGCTGAGGATGTGCCGGTGATGTTCTTCTGCCCGTCAGCGGGAGTTCTGACCGTCACGTCGCTCCGTGTTTTTTTGTCACGCAGCTGCGCATTCTCCGCTCGGAGCAGGGCCTCGACGACGAGGTGCTGCAGCTCCTGCTAGAGATCTCGTCTCGCTCCGGAGTGCTCTTCCCTTCCCACCCCAGCTGGCACCGCCTTCCAGTTCTCCTCGCTGGCGTCTCTCAACGCCGCCGAGGACACGTCCGCACTGGACGTGCAATCGCTGTGGGAGAGCACGCGGCTGCACCTCCGCACGCACCTCCTACGCAGGCTGGCTGCCATCTCGGCAGCCACGGGCACCGCCAGGGCACAACACTTAACCCGATTGCGCTGCCTGCAGAGCTTGGCGTTCCTCTACCCACCAGACGAATTTCTGCCCAAATACAAGACCATGCGTGCCAAGCAGCTGCAGGACTTGCTGCGGCTGTGTGGAATGAACCCGGCCAAAGAGTTTGAAAGCGGGAGCGCCGTTAACCTGGGGAGTTTTGCGCTGTCGCTTGCGGAGGCTGTTCCCCAGATCTGCATGTTGATGGTGGAGGACCATGCGGCCGTTGGTGGCGTGGCGGGCTGCGAAGTGGCGTCCCGGTTTCTTCAAGAGGTGTTCCTGGAAGAGATTGAGGAGGAGCTGGTGGGGGCATTGGGGCAGCCATTGCTGCTGCTGCTGCCAGATGGCCCTGCATGCAAGGATGGCAGGAGGCCAAAGGGAAAGAGAAACACAGTGGGTATGTGATCTTTTTTTATTAACCCTTCAATCTGTGTCGCCAAGGTACATTGCCGTGTAGTGCTCAGCTTGCGTTACGCGCGCGAATAAATAACTCTGCGGGATTTGGGACCGTTAATTTATTGTTCATGCGATTAAACTGCATGATGCCGCTCAACAAAAATAGGACATTTTTCAACTGAATGTCTCATTGTTATGACAGACGAATCTGCAATGCTGGCACAAGACACGCTTTCCCAGCTGACCCGGGTGATGTCAAGTCTGCTCAAGATGGACAAGCAACTAAGGGAATTAGCATGGTCTGCCCCGGCTAGCAGTGCTGGTGTCAACGAAGGTGAGGGATGTTCTTTATATATTTTTTTGAGTGCTGTTAGCGAGCTGCTCTCAGTTTTGACGAGCACACATGATGCGGTGAGGGGCCAACCCTTTTCTCCAAAGTTATCAATGCCTCCTGAAGCTGTCTCCATCTCTGTCCACTACCATTGGGGAAAAGATGCGTGCCCATTTTACAACACTGGTCAATGTGGGTTGGTGAATATTTCCCACGAGTGTATTGCGTTAATGCTGGACCCTTAGGTCAGTGCAAGTACTTCAGGATCCTCCTGAAGGAGTCTCAAATGTGAGTTGTGAGCTTCACGGTGTCTTTCCTCGCTAAATAATTGTCACTTTTATTGCTATTAACATCCAGTGTCTGGAATTCATGCCTCCCGAATTGACCAAACAAGATACGTGTCAGCTTCGATAACATTCACTGTACTATGTTGCAACATCTTTGATCCTCCCTACGTACGGTGCAAAAGAAGTTCAACATACATACGTGGCGATGTATCGTCAAATAACCTCCACGACCTGCATCGCTTGGGGAGGCCCTCGTCCAGCAGTGGATCGTCATTTGGGCTGTACGTGCACATGTGTTCGATTACCTGGATTCTAACTGTGGTAGAGTGTAGTTAAGTCACGTGATGTACTTACACACATATAAAAAACAGCTTGACAGGAATCCATACTCTTTGGTTCTTTCGGTAAAGTCACGTAGGTAGAAATAAAATAAAATAAATCACGACGTTTCGATCGCAACACAAGCGACCGTCATCAGGCGGAACCAATACAGCAGGACAACTGCTGATTTAGGAGCCTGACAGGGTTCATACTTTAATTTTTACACATCATTCATGCAAATTCTATCCCGTAACGTGCAGTCAGCCTCCTGTTTACAGAGCCGCACGCGCCGTGGTTCATCGCTGTGCTTTGCGGTCGGTAATGGGTCATGTGTCCTCCTCCTTCCTCCGACGAGCAGGCCCTACTCAAGAAAGGCAGCCCAGGACTCGTTTCTCCAGAACCACACTCGAAGAAGAAGCCGGGCACGTTCTCAGGTAATGGGGCCACCGCGCGCTGCGTTTGCGTACGTTGCGTTGTTATTAGCCGGGCAGTGGTGGCGACGAGCAGGCGAGGGTTTATGAATCGCACAAATGTTGCGAAACTCATCGCGAGACCATGAGAGTTGGTGATGGCTTAAGCGAGGCCTTCATCCAGCAGTGGATAGGTCATGGTTGATGATGATGAAATTCAATGTATATCACTGTATGTGTATTGCCCTGTAGTGGTGCAATACACGTGAAGTGAGGTATGAGTAGGGGAGGAGGTGTGATGCTCATTATCCAGTTATTCCTACGCTGTCTCAAGCAAAATTCGACGATTTTATCTCAACATTAATGAAGCCTTTTAGGGTCCATATTGAAATATAACAGTTTTTGAACACCCTCCCTGCTGTCGTATGCAATGCACATGAAAGAGAGGCTGGCGGAGTGAGTGCTGCTATTTAACATGTGGGGAATTGGTCATGCAGAATGGGTCGACAGTGCACACACAGGGGCATTACGCTTTAGACACAGGTAAAACACACATGTGTGTTAACAAGGAAAAGATGAACATGCTGACATTCAAGAGGTAACACCTCTGCACTTGATATTTGCAGCGGCAGGGATCCATAATGACCTTTAACTTGATCCAGGTTTGGCGTGGTGGCTAATTGCATTGTGTGAGCGTAGCGGTGCATTTAACATTGCTTTTGCTAATATAACAAGTGCACGAATTCTGTGATAAAGGTCATCTTTGCAGCTTTTGACAGTGTTGGTGGGTTTTTTTTATCAGCCTAATCACGTTTTGGTGTGTATCAGGACTGCTGTAATTCACAAGCAGTGTTTTTCCAGCTGCTGCATTATACAAACAAGATGGTTAATTAGTATTGTCATTTTAAAGCATTTTGTAAATTGACATATAGTAACAGTACTGCATATGTTGCTGAAAATGTATCCACTAGATATCATAGATCTTTAATATATATTGATCGTTTTTATTTCCGTACCTTTTTGATAAATAATCTCGCTCACATGTTTTTGCTGTAAATGTTTAGATTTTTACAACGATATTTGTGAACTGCTATACTTACATCTCATCTTTATACTGTCATTACATTTTTACATCACCTAAATATTTGTACATCGCAAATAAAACCGATTTTTTTTGCCCTTAATAAATTATTGCAATTCAATATTCAATCGACGACTACGCTCGTAATAATTCTACACACATGCTGCGTATTGCACCGCTGGCATATGGCGTGTGTCATAGTGCTTGAGCAAAGAGAGCAATTCTTAAATCGGAACTGAAGGTAGCAGTGTTGAGCTGCTGTGTGTGTGTGCGTGTGCGAGTGAGCGTCCTTGCGCAATATGTAAGAAAAACAAAACGAGGTGACTCCGACACATTCGGGTTGTGACTTATGACACCCATCAAGGCTGCTCCACGGAGGGTGCATCCGCCTTTTTAAAAATGGACAACGGAAATGAATGCTTTGAAAATAAACTGGCCATGGCTGGCTGGCCGTGGCCCTGCAAGATTGGGAACTTTGTGTTCACTGTAATTTGCAGGCTCTGGAATGGGAATGGAAGACTCTCTTCCAGGACCTTTCTGGTCCGATGGCTCGGAGCCTTCTGCAAACAGGAGCGGAGATCACGGGGAGGTGGTCACAGAAGTCGCCCGCCGGCGGCCCCTCTCTGCTGGTGTCCGCCAGCGTGATGGAGGGTGGGGGCAGTCATCGCTGCGCGGTGTTCGAGGCAAGCGCCGTGGGGCGTGCGGAGGAGCGCCGTGTCCGGCGGTGATTTTGTGAGCGCGCCGTGGGCTCTCTGACAGTCAGACGCGACGCCGCAGCGACGCGTCCGATTGCATTTTGTCAAAACGGACGTGAGCGATGTAATTAAAATAAAAAATACGATTTTTGTGATTGTATTAGCAATGTAGGGGAAAGTGATTTTATATATATAATTTATTTTTTAAAGAGCTCTGTAAAAAATAATGAGTGTGATTTGTTGCGTTTTCTTAACACCGGTGTTATCACATTGTCAGATGTGGTTATATTTATTGTCATTTCTGCAAATGCAACCCCATCCTGTGCTGTCTGAAGAGTTGCTTCTCACCGTTTGCTTATTAAATCATCATGCGTTATGGTATTCTATATCTCGTTGCTATTACTGCTGCAAGATTCTAACTTTGGCATCATTACTTGACATATCAACTCCTCCCCCCCCCCCCCCCCCCGATGATTCGACATAATTTAGGGCCACACATTTACGTAAGAAGCTATCCTTTCTTGTGCTATTTTTGCCATCTCGTTTGAATAGTTTTCTTGCTTTTCACTTTCTCGTACAGTGTTGGCTCACTCAGTTAGCATGAAGATAACCTTAACATACCATTTACATGCAATTTGCATACATCATAAGTAATTGAATTAACACATTGCTCGATTAGATGCGTGCATCGTCTGCGCACGAATCTGTTTTTGTTTGATGAATCGTTACAATGCGGAGCAGTCTTCGTGCTGCAGATAGTCTCAGCGTAGGAATGCACTCCCGATTTTCAGATGAATCCTAAGTGTCTGAAAATGAGGCCTTCATACAACATTTTGTATGATCCGAATTTTTTGTTCGTTTCTAATTCACTTCTACTTCTATTCCCGCCATAAGTGGCGTTACGTTTAGGAGCACAAAGACACTTTTACATTAGTACATCATGAAAATCATCCGAATTTTTTTACAGAAAACCACAGAACAACAATGGTACAGTTGGAGAGCCCTAACCTGTGCCATGTATTTATATTGCTTCTGATTCTGGGAGCCCAGTTTGTACCCAAATTACCTGGACCGAATCTGTTGTGTCATGCATATAAGGAGGCCTTTGGGAGGGAAAGCCCTTAGTTTCAAACAGTGTGTATTGTGCAAAATCCATCAGCGGTTCCTGAAGAACTGCATTGTACCAAAGCTTCACATGCGAGGCAACCATAGTTTTATACCATTGCATAGTGCGGTTCTGCTCCACCACCACGTCCAGAACAATAAAGTTCTCACAATATTTGTAAAATAATTTCGAGTTGCTTTATGCATTCACATCATACACAGTTTGTATTTTAACCTAATATGAATTGTTGAGCGCTCCATCGTAGAATTACGAGCTATGGATGGGCTAAATTTGGCCTTCATGAATGCGGACACATTGTACCTCGGTACATTCCGAGGGACGCATTGCAACGCGTTGTGACCGCCTTTCCTTTCCAGTTCTGTGCAGGCGTAGCGGACGAGCTGGAATTCTTCTTCCCGTTGGCCGTTGCCGGCCGCGAGGGCCCACTGCGCGAAGTCGGCACCGCTTTCGTGTCCGTCTGCTGCGACGTCACGGCATGCGTCCTACGCCGGCTGCGGGAATATGGACACGGTGGGGCAGACGGTGGCCCCGTGAACACGCTGTACACTGCGCTGTCCTCGGCGGCGTTTATGCACGGCCGACTGCGGAGCTTCTGCGACGCGCTGGCCGACCGGTCGTTCACGTGAGTGGTGTGCGCGTGAACGCGTACCGTTGCGTCGTAGCTGTGTCCGACGGGTTGCACCGCAGGCTGTTTCGACACCATCTCCAGCGGATTCCGCTCCACGTGCTGGCAGCTTCTTCAGGAACTGAAGCCTGGAATGGCATTAGATATCCGTACAGCACGTCCACGAATACCTATGCAGCAGTGTTATATTGTGTTGCCAAAAATTATGCACTCCCAGAACATAATGGGATGTGTAAAAAATACTTTTTTTATTTTATGTGTAGGTACCGATAGGGGCAGGAGGAGTATTTTCTTCTCATTTTTTACAGCAGTTGTGTTATATCGTATTTAAATATCACACTTAATGCTAGTGCTTTATTACATTTAGGCATCTAGATGCAAAATAAGAAAATCGTTATTTTTTGCATTTCAGAGCGAACCAGAAAACAGACACATTTTCAGGAAAATTTTTCCTTATTACGATGCAGAAGAAATGAGCGTTTGTATTTTTAATGTCCCTTCAACATTTCTTGACGTTGATGCATGCAATGAGTTGAAGATGCCGCTAAGATATACCGAGGGTGTTAAAAGTCTCTGGGATCAGCCGGGTCACTGAATGAGTAACCATTAGGACAGAGCCAGTTCGGACACTTTTGTTTTATGTAAAAAAAGTGGCTTTTAAAGCAATTTTGCCAATTTTGTATGAAACCGCCGACATTAGGAGTATTGTGAATGATGGTACAATTACCAAAATTAACGTGACACATTACTGTTCATTGCCTTTTTAGTTTTAGTGCCAATTGAATGTAAGATTGGGTGAGATTTTCGAAAAGGGCCACATGAATTAATTACCCAGTGGACATTGCAACTTCAAATGTTTTTTTTTTTTACACGCCGAGAATACTTTCTTTGTATTTTCATTTTTTTTTTAAAGAAGGATCATTCCAGAAACTCACTACGAGCGTTATTAGCTGGGCACTGGAATTATAAGTTAAAGAAGCAAGAGCTGTCTCCTTCATCTTGTCACTTTCATTTTCGGACTACGAACATACGCGACGATCCTTAAAAATGACTTTGGTGTTGAAAAAAAAAAAATCCTGTTAAAAAAAACGCACGCTGATTTGGCGCGTGCATGCGTGTGCCAGTTCGCTATGAGCAGTTGCACACTTTGAAGAGCTTCGCCATTTGATCTTGTGTGACTCCTTATTAAGCCATAAATGCCCTTTTAAAATTATGCATTTTAAACTGATGCGTTCGGAACACTTTAGCTAATTTAATCATACTTTTTTTTATATATAAGTGCTGTACGCAGTAATTTGTTCCATTAGTAGCCCGCGATCATATGCAAGTTTTGTTTTGGTGTTGAGAAACTGTGTTTGTAGTTCACCTTTAATATTTTATTCAGATGTGCAATTGACATTGCTACGCTGTTAACGACCTGTAATATTGTGATGCATTAATATGGTTGTACGTTTTTATTACAATTACAACGATTTCACGAGTACAGAATTTGTGTTACAGTGAAGTCATACAAATAATAACTTAGAGGGAATCTACTGCTGGTTGAAGGTCTTCATATTCATTGCTGACGGTTTTAGGGTTAATATAGATTTGAAGTTTTCGTGACTGCAGGGATCCATACTCTTTGGTTCTTTCGGTAAAGTCACGTAGGTATAAAATAAAATAAATTAAATCAAGTGACTTTACCGAAAGAACCAACGAGTATGGTTATAGTTACTATACTCTTAGTTTTTTCGGTAAAGTCACATAGGTAACAAATGAAAAAATCACGACGTTTCGGAGGCAACACAAGTCTCCGTCATCAGGTGGGACCGTCACAGCCAGATTTGCTGCATCAAGTGAGGCAGGGATTCCAAGATGTAAGTTCTTAAATACAAGTTAAGGAGGAGGAGAGGGGGGGAGCTTATCAGAATGTGGTATGGTTATACGGTTGTTTGACCATACTTCACCAAGCTGGTCAATGCTGGTTGGTGAAGTTGGAGCACAGCACCGTTTCAGACATCCCTCACCACTGATGTTCGCCATGGCTGAGAATCAAATGCAGGTGGATAGTTCATAGTGCAGTTCAGTGATCTAACTAGTGCGCGACCGCTCCCCGCTGAAGTCATACTCGTCATGGTTTTTTTTTTTTTACAGGCTGCCTTTGTCTGCGACCCTCAAGAAGTGGCAAGAGTTTATGTCGGGCATCTGTGACAGCATCACTGACTACCACATTGGGGTCCTTACCACGAGCATCCTACACGATTCGGAGAGCCACCACTGGGCAGATCCCAGGCCCTTCTATGAGGTACGTTGCAGGCCCGTGCATAGTATAATAGAATTTACATATATAGCTAACGAATCAATCTTTACACGCACATTTCATTGCATATTAAGCGAGGGATGACAATCTATTTTGATCGGTGAATCGATGTATCTTTGCATGTCTAATCTTCGGCCACCATCTCCTGACTGCTCTCTTAAACCATGGAGGTAAGCAAGTTTCAAGTTTTTCAAGTTTCAAGTTTAATTTATTAGGTATAGCCCTGTGAGCCATTCGGCTCTTGAATCGGGTGCAACCGCAACAAACCAAAAAACAAAAACATGAACAAGAAAACATCTTAAAGTGACTATGTACAAACAGAAAATCCAAGTAAAGACTGCATAAAGCTCAGCATGGCAGTGTTGCTCATGATGCCGAGAGATTTTCCCATCCAGTCTAGAGCTTCGGGAGATGCTGAGTGAACTTCGGAGATGTTTCCAGTGGGGGCATGAATACGGCAGACAGTTGTTCACGATGTGTTTCAATGTTTAAGTTGTTCACCACATTCACAGTATGGAGTGTCCTTGAGTCTCCGTTTGTGCATAAGGTGTCCACAGTGCCCGTGTGATGTTCTCATGCGATTCTGGGCCATCATTTTACTACGTTCTTGCGAGCCCACCTTGTTGTGTGTAAAACCGCAATGAATGTTATAAAACGGCGACCGAACGTCGATCATCGACCTTCCAGGTCAGGAGAGCAACTGTTTAAGCCGAGGCAGTGTGAAGCGAAGAGATTTGATCATCGGTGTCGGCTGTGAGGCTCATGTTTTTCACCTTTGCGGCGCCCCCACCCCCCCCCCCCCCCCCCATTAATTCCTCCACATCTCTTCTGCGCTCACGTTTCCAAGTCCCAAAGGTCGTTGCGGCAGACCAAACTGATTTTCGGCACTTTAAGCGAGCTGGTGGTGGGGGGCGATTGAGCTCGGGGGGCGTGAATGGTGGCCAACGCACGCTCGCAGTCGCGCAGACGCAATGTACCGTTCCGCTCGGTGCAGGCTCGCCGCTCCAGCTGCCCGAGCCCAGAATGCGGTCCCGAGTGGAGGCTGCCATCCTACGGCCTACTTGCCAAATTTACGTACATTTTCTACAATAGATAAGCGAGCGGCGTGTTCTTACATTGTGAGTGTCGCAGCCCCCCCCCCCCCCCTGCAGAGCATTCAATCCACCCACAATGCGGGAGCCATGGTGCCTACTCACCTATTCTACCAATTTAACGTTAATCAGGGAAAGTTCCCCGTCCTGTTTTAAAGGAATACTGACTCCGATCAATTACTCCCATCAACCCCCCCCCCCACCGTTCCCCGTTGTAAATGATCTACCGTGGTAAGATGTGGAGAGAGCGGTGTGTGTGTAATTGCCTATGCATGAAGTGTGTTATTGTAATGTTTTCAGCTGGGTGTTTGTATTTTCAGGGACGAGCTAACAAAGTAACTTAATTAAAAACTGATTGCTAGATTTATCAAAGCAAATTAGACACTTCTGTAGGTTGTTTCCTTTGCATAATGCAAGTCATTATTTTGAGTCGGATGAAAATTCAGAGTAAACAAACTGTGTCATAATAAATCCGCTAATCTCACTTCAAGCGCTCGGTCGGTGAGAAGGGTGGAAACGGTTCATTCGCTTCGCTTGATGAGATATTGAGAGAGGAAAAAAAAATCCATCAGGATTTAAAGGGCATTGTTTTCAAGCATGTTATAAATGTGCAAGTGAAATATTTGGTTTTAAACATTAAAAGTAATTAAAACATATTTTTTTCAACATTTAAATATTGGCTAGTGTCGCAATATAATTTTTTATGTCCTCTATAAAAAAAAAATCACGCGATTTTGTCTGTAAATGTAACATAAAAACTAGGTGATTTTATATATATAATTAACTTAAATTCAGCTGCTCAATGTTGTGGTGTATTGGCCGCGACAGTTCTGGTTTCAGAAACGCTGTTCCGGAGTTATGAAGCTTTTGCACAATTAGGGATTATACACCAATAAAAAAAATTCTGGCCTCATCCTCAATTCATGATGCGGGATAATGGGCGGGGCTACCTGACTAGTGAGTGGGGCTACCTGAGCAGTGAGTGCGACTTTTGTAGGCGGGAATAGTAGCTGAGCGGGCGTGACTTTGAAAAAGTGGGTTGTGCCGACAGAGGAAATCTCTGCCAGCTCACCATGTGTCCCGAAATATGCCCACGAAATATTATAACGTTACACTTTTACACCTGCATACCTGCCCCGCAGGGCGAGCGTTGCTCCTTCAGCTTGCAGATGTGGCACTGCCACCTCGGCGCCCTTTGGTCCGACCTCCGGCGGTCTCTGCCCCCGGCGCTGTCGCGCTCCCTGCTGGCGTCGGTGCTGGGCCGCTCGCTTGCGCCGCTGGCCGCTCGCTACGCCCGGGCCCGCCCGTCAGAGCGCAGGACGCCGCAGGTGCGCGCCGACATCACGGCCGCGCTGGCCTACTCGGCGTGGCACCTGCTGGGCGTCTGCCGCGGCTGGCGGGAGCTGCTGGAGCCGGAGGGGAACGGCGGGGACGAGCACGCGGAGCTGCTGTCGCCGATCCACGCGCACTGCGGCTCGCTGCTGGCAACGCTGGCTGTCGGTACTGCGCCGTTGGATCAGCTACACCTGTAAGTGCGTTACATCCCGATGTGTGTCGTCGTCTTCGTCGTTGTCATCGTCATCATCGTCATCATCGCTGAACAAAAGGTCGCACTCGTTACACACAAAGTGCTTGCCACAAATGAACCACAATACCTTGCTGATCTCATCGAGGAGCATCAACCTTCACGCGAACTCCGGTCATCCTCACAGAGCAGCTTTTGGCTCGCCATTGAACAAAGACGGTCACTGCATCGCGTGATTTTAGATGCGCTTCTGCGACCGTCTGGAATGCTCTTCCTTCAATATTAGGAAGCTACTGGAGCTACGTACGTTGAAATCTAGATTGAAAATACATTTCTTTTGAACCGATTTTTGTCTTTCCTCCGCACCTTCGATGAGCACGGTTGGCTAGGTACGGTGCGAGAGAAGTTCAACATACATACGTACATTGACCATGCTGATTGATGATCTCTCAAAGCTGTCACCATCTCTCATGGTCACGCAATGTCGCGATCCGTCTAGCACCTGTAAACGAGCTGATTTCATCGCTCCATCTCCACGGCTTACATACTCCACTATTGTACATACAAACTCAACAAAATAAAATCTCTCTTTGCATTCGTTCAAATTTTCATTTTCAATCCCAAAACATTTGCTTTGCTGTTTGCCTAATAATGACTTGAACAGCGGAATAAACGTGCAACAGACTCCGGGTTCAGCGTCTGAGAATATAATAAAAGTCACAAAACACCTTTAATGCATCCTTTTTTTTTCCCAAGCTACTTTTCCAATTCAGCTAATACCTGCGTTTAACGAGGGATGCGTTCTGCCGGTGACCTTGTTTGCGTTTGGTTTACGTCAGAGCGTTCAAAGACGGGTTCCCTGCCGCGGAGAGGACACCACGCTTGCGTAAAGATGGGCCCAGGCCTGGCCTCGCTCCTCTGTGGCTGCAGTGGATGAGGCCAGGTCTCTTTGGCAAAGGGCCAGAGAGGTACGTGGCATCTCTCGCACATTACCCTTCCTTACCTCTTGCACCTGTGTGCGTGTGCAGCCCAATTGTGTATCGACTGCTAGATGAGGGCCTATCCACACTGTGCGGATCGTATTGATTGGGCATACTTCACCTCGCTGGTCACCGCAGGTTGGTGAAGATGTGGAACATAGACGTGGGAGTGCAGAAGAACAGTACAACAATGCACTGTCCCATGCTGCCCACCATGTCGTCCCACAATCTAGAACACCTGCTATGCATAGCGGTTACCCATCCAAGCATTATCCAGGCTCAATTCAACTTAGTATTCGGCATCTAATGGTATCGGGCAGTTTCTGGGTGGTTTGGTCATTAGCTATTGGATGAAGTCCCTGCTCTAGTTATGTCGGTCATGAGGGTTGACCATACTTCACTACGCTGGTCAATGTGAGTTTGTAAAGGGGTGGGCGTGGGGGGGGGCAGGCAGAGGGGGAAAGGGCAAGACAATTCAGATATCAATTTCCAGTGATGTTAGCCATGCATTGGAATTGAACTCAGATCATCAGTTGCATGGTGCAGTGTGCTATTCACTGCACCACCATTCCACCCCCATTCGAGTGATAGGAATTACAAAATGTTTGTATTTGGATACAGCATTACCACTACCACCACTACATGTGGGACAATATGTCGGCTCACTCGCTCGTGCTGCCGCAAGTCTCGAAACGTGCTCCCAGAATAAACTGAAATAAACCAATGACGATCGGGGCGCGTTAACGCTCTCGTTTGGGTTTGTGCAGTGCAATTCAGACTCTTGTGGCGTCTAAATGCGGCCACATCTCAAGACGCTCTCAGGACACAGCGGGTGTTTTTCATTGTATAGAGAGAGAGAGAGGTGCTAGGTCATAGGCAGAAGCAAAGCAAAAGAAAGGTCTCGAGTCCTGAATAGGGGCAGGCAGTCGACGGCATGGATTGGCTGGGGGGAAGGGAGTTCGAGACTCAATGAAAACCCCGAGAGACTTGAAGCAGTCGTCGGATAAATGTTTGAAATAATTGTTGTTAACTAAGACAAGCACATTTAAACAGCACTGAAAATGACGAATGGACCATAAACAGCATTTTGGTCAGTAGACCACGTGGGAGATTCTTCCGTGTTGCTCTCGGAGACGGCCTTCACCCTGCGGCAGAGTTGAGTGTGCGCGCGCGCGTGCGACGCTGGGCCGGCCTTGCCCTCTCTGGCGCGTGTCCGTGTGTGGGCTCAGGGTGTACGAGCACATCAGGCTGCTGCTGGCCCAGCCTCGGCTGGACCGGGATCTCCTCGTGCAGACCCTGGTGTTTGAAAACGGGCTGCTGTCCAAAGTGCTGCTCGTCAACACGGGTGCGGCACGATCTATGCGCGCAAACTCACAGATCTCATTCCGTGCAATTTGCATTTCCTCAGCTGGCAGCGCGCGCACGCACACGCGTGTTTATTTGCGGGACGTAGTCACTGCGCGGGAACACATATTTACATTAAACAGATTGTTTTATGTCTTTAGTCATGGCTGCGGAATTGAAAATAAAAGGCAATATATGTGCTTTAAAAGCAATTTTTCAATCTTCAATGACAGAATAAAAAGGTGCGCGTGTCACAGGCACTGTTTCTCCTGCTGATTGAGTGCATAATTAAGCCAGGCAAGATAGTTGAAAGGCTGTCCCTGTGGACGCGTATGGAAATGATGTAAAGACGTTAAGAGTTGTAGCAGCATGCATAGCGCAGGAGGTCTCCAGAGTAAATCTTGAAAAAGGCTGATTTGGCAGCGTGAAGATCAAAAGTATACTGGTAGCATGGAAGGGTTTATTGGCAACAAAGGTATGAGCAGTATGCCTTCACCGACACGTGGAATGAGTCCTGTGGATGTGCTCTTTGGCGACGCGGATATGCGCGCCGTCGCTTACTGTTCTGACAAAGATGGGATTATGTCTCCTGCACTGTTGCGTGCGTCTGCGTGACGTGGTTTGAATTGTGGCCCAGGTCACGGTAAAGTGCCAGCTCTCGGCTAAACAACAAGCGGTTTCACTTTTTCCCCCCCTTTTACACTGCTCTCATGGATTTGAGCCAAGTGTTTTTTTTTCTTCCCCTCACCCAGTTCTTACAAAATGGATTTTGAGTTTAGCCCCGTGCTGGAATTCCATTTGAGGTCAGTAGCTGCCGACTACACGGGCAAGTGACTCTCTTTGGAGCACATGTTACGCTCGGCAGAGACTGAAAGGAAAAAATTAAGCTTTTGTCTGTTGGCACGGCCCGTAGATTGAAAACTCTGGAGGGGCTTATTATAGCGGAGTGATGACAAGTTCTGTCATCACCCACATTCAGAAAAACACAGTCATGGATGCGACGTTATTAGCTTGTTCATCACACAGCTTGACATTCACGCGATTGAGCAGTCTTGTTCTGATCATGTCACTGTGCATTCTCCTGTGCCCAGTAGACAGATTAACTGAACCGAGTACATTAGGAGGAAATAATCTCGAGTCATTTTAAAGGGGCGTGTTCTGTCACCGCTAATACCTTGCATGCAGCAGTCAGTTTGTCACATTGCTTTTGAGAGTTCATGTAAAAACCGGCTTTGCTTTACTAAAAAGACTATCTTAACCGCACTGTGAAACAGTGCATCAAGCACGCCAAGAGCAGAAACGGTTGGCGACTTGTAATTAATTACGCCGTAAAATATTACAAGTCACGATAAGTCTGTAATTTTAATGCTCGCGTGATTTATGGCAGCACGTTGCATCAGTGCAATGCGCTTATGAACTCGCGACATCACAGTTACGAGTTATTTCTTTTTCCCCCGCATCGTGGTCCCTCCCCGTGTCCGTTGGCGCACACGTAATCCGTCACGACGGGCCCCATAATTGCCAGGTCAGAGTTGCGGTGTTCTTGATAATGCAAAAAAGTGTACGGCCCCTGTCTACATCGAGTTCACGGCTCCCGACCCCGGCGCTGCTTTGGCAGGGGTCGAGCAGTGGCGGCCGCAGCAGCGGGCGAACGCGGGGCCGGAGGGAGGAGGCCGCTCCCTGGCACAGGCCGTGCTGCTCACGCTGGGCTCCTGCGAGGGCTCTCCCTGCGTCCTGCGTGACGTGATGCGGGAATACCTGGACAGGCACGCACTCTGGGACCACGTGGTCATCTCGCCCGAAGGTGAGCCCGGCCTCTCGTCTGCTGGCTCACGGTCAGAGGTCGCAAACGGGTTTTGATTCCTTACCCGTACCCGGCCGCACCAGGGTCGCAAACGGGTACCCGTACCCGGCCGTACTCGTACCCCACCCGTACCCGGCCGCAATCAGGTACCTGATACCCGTACCCTACCCATACCCGGCCGAAATGAGTTTCAAACAGTTACTCACCAGTGACTCACGGTCTACCCGTACCCGGCCGCACCAGGGTCGCAAATGGGTACCCGTACCCGTACCCGGCCGGGTATGGGTAGCCGGGTATCGGGTAGGGTACGGGTATCGGGTACCCGGTTAAGAACTCTGCTCACGGTGTTCTCGCGGTGTTCACGCGGTGTTCCTGGCGAGCACTCCCGCGCTTCTTTGTTGCTCGCCCCTGGGACGGAGCGGCTGGGACACCTAAGTTTTTAGCGCTTTCTAGATAACGTGAGCATATTAGTTCTGTCCTTTTGTGCGCACCTTTGTCTGCCTCTCCATTTGTCTATAGTAGGGAGAGGGGGACTGTTATAGCTGGTAAAGGTTATCCAATATGCAGAATGAAAGTTAGTATATAATTGTGTTGCTATTCGGAACTTACCCTATTTGGTTAGCGGCCTAATTGATCACAGGAGGTTGCATGGCAGCATGGACCCAGCACTGATTCAGATATCTCTTCTCACTGATGTTGCCCGTGACCGGCAATTGAACTCAAAATGCAGTGCGCTAACAACTGTGCCATCCCTCCACCTCAAAGTCCAATGATATTGCACTCAAAATCATTGATTGTTCTCTGTTAAAACTCCCATACCTTAATGTTTTTTTTTGTAAAGAGACTGGACCTCTCACCAAATGATTGTAGGATTTTCACCACCGGCTCGGGGCCCATTCATTGAGAAGAGCAACGCTTGCCTCGTTGGAGCAGCAAGACACTTTGCCATGACGTATGGGAAGCTGCCCTGTTGTAGTGGATTGCGCACTGGACTTGCAATCCAGAGGCATTTGGAACAACGGGGCAGGTTTCTGAAACCCCCCCTCCCCCCACCGCCTATGTCTACCCAGCAGTATAAATGGGTTACACAACAGTTAGTCGATTGGCAGGTTGCGTGTGGTGGGGTAATGTGTGGGTAGTCCCACCCCTTCCAAAATATCTGGCCAGCATTGGAAGAGTAGGCCAAATCCACTCTGGAGGGGTTTCTCTCGAGAGCTCGATTTAGCCGAGGCCCTTCCGCCAGCAGTGGCTTGAGCAAGTAATTGCAGGGATGCACCGTTATCTTTTTACATATCGAATAGAACAAATTAATAAAAGGGGGACTGAGCGGTCCCGTACGGTATATGTCTTGCCATCGCTGGTTAATCAACCTGGGTTTGCACCGACCACGGCTGTCGCTCACATGCCACTCTGCGCCTGCCTCTGTTCCCCTGCACGCCTCTTGCGGTGATCCTCTGTGGCCAGGGGACGGGAGCCAAGAATCGGCCGTGAGCGAAAGCCTGCGCCTCCTGCTGTCTCCGGCCCGGGATGTGCTGCTGCTGCCCGTGCTGGAGCTGCTGGAGGCCTCGAGGGCGGCCGGGAGTGATGCGGCAAAGGAACTGCCGCCCTCTCTCATCGGCAAGATCCCCCCTGAGTGGGGGTTTTCGGCATCGCAGAAGCAGGGATTTCCAGGTAAGGGAGACATGAGGTGGCGCAACGGTCAAAGGTAAAGGTGCAACCCCCCAATTTCCCTGCTCGCACCGCTGCTGGTGGAAGGACCTCCAGCAGAGCGAGCACTCGAGAGCCCTAAGATGGAGCTCTAGAGAAGCCCTCTAGAGGAGGGTATTTGGTCGGCTCTATCCACAGTTTACTCGTTCACGTGACAATGGCGGGGGGAGGAGGAGGATTTATGAAACGCATCCATTGTGTCAACCGCTGCGCCTTGAGGTTGAATAGGACCAGCGACCTCTGGATTGCAAGTCCAGTGTGCTGATCGTTACATCACGGCAGGATTCTGTGGCCAGCCATCTTTGCAGGATCTGAGACAAAGGACGAAAGAGCCGCCGCTTATGAAAAGCTACAACACCACAATCAAGTTTAGTGTCACTCGGGGTCATCTGCCGAGGCTGTGTTAGGGCACGTAGCCAATAGCATCTCATTATTCCCACCGCAGGAATTATCTCGCAGAGCAGTTTAAAAATTACCCGCTATGTGCCTTGAACGTAACATTCTCATAATGAAGCATCAGCAGCAGCTACACACTTATGAAAGAGTGAGTATGGTTATAGCCAATTTAACGGACATATCATTTGCAAAAATGAATAGGTGCCATTTTGTTCGTATTATTACGCGTAAAAAAAAAAATTCCCGCGCTGAGATGGCCGAGTGGAAGCAATCTTGGAGCTGTGGCTCGTGAGGCAAGCAGGCGCAAGCGCCGCCCTGCGTGCAGAGTTAAAAAATCTGCCTAAACGGCCTTTCTGAAATAAGACCTTTTCCGTGTCATGTCCCGCCGTTGTATTTTACACTGCTTCTCGCAGTCATCCATCACTGTTTTCATATGCATATTGTGATAATCCATCAAAGGGGCCTTTTTGTAGCTGCGAGTTTTTGCCAGCCGTCGCTCATCAATCATCGGGCAGAGTCGTGCCGCCTAATGCGTGTGGCTCGCTGGCAAGAGGCGGGCCGACTAAGATAGATCTGTATCTAATTAGGCAAGGCAAAAACGAGAGATGGCGTGCAGGGGAATTCAGCACGGCTTCCTAAATGCAGCTTTTGTAAATGTTAGCAGGGGGAAGTCCTGGTGGGTTTTTTTGTTGTTGGTGAAGAATCGATGCAGAGCCATATAGAGGTAAAGACAGGGGTATTGGTGGGATGTGTTTCCCTGGCACTATATCTTAAAAAAAATCAATACGTGTTGAAGCATTTTATGCATCATAGATCAGATACTTTGGGAAGGAAGGATTACGTTTCCCCAACGCATCGATTTGCTGATGGGAATAAAAAGCTTAACACATATTATCAATTGAGCGTATCTGCTTTGTGTTAAATAAATAAAGTATAATATGCATTGTGAATACCGTCGGATGTCTTAATTAAGTAGTCCACGGTGTAAAGGTTGTCAAACACCTTTTAACATCCTTCAGGCACGCTAGAGGTCCTGCCCGTGTCACGTCTGGAAAGCGTCCTCTGTTTCCTGCCGCTTTGCACTTCTTTATTATCGGGGGGAAGCGATCACCGGGAGGCAATATGATCAGTGACATATATATGGTGAAAGATCGCAAATTGTCTCACAAAATGCGCTGCCTTGAATTGTATTTAACAAGATGGAAATTAACAACTTAGAATAATGTATTTCATATACAGAGTAGCATTTGGAGTGGTGGCGCAGTGGTAAGGGCACTGCACTTTGAAACAGCCATCATCAGTGGTGAGTGATATCTGAACTAGTCGTGAGCACTCTCAATGTCGCCAACTCACATTGACCAGCGTGGTGAAGTATGGGCAAACAAACCCGCGTAACCGACAAGGCACAGGGAGGCCTTCACTCATCAGTGGCTTGACATTACACACGAAGGTTATTGGATACATTTGGCACGCGCAACAAGCCATCTCCTCCTGCCGCTCCACACGACTGACCTTTCCCTTGCGTGGTCCTCCAGGCACCGTGGACTTTGTGGAGCGAGCCCTCGAGGCCACCGTGCAGACGCTACCGATGGCCGCGGCATCTATTTCCACGCCCATCAAGGTCTTCTTCTCCTCGGTTGCTCCTGAAGAAGGCGGCGGCGCTGCCGGCGGCCTCTCAAAGCTCCGGCCGCCCCACGGCTCGCTGCTGCTCTACGCGCTCTGCGCCCTGCTCTGCCGAACGCTGAAGGACGGCAATGCCGTGGAGGAGGCCACCGGCGTCACGCTGGACCGGGCCGCGGCGGAGGCGTTGGCGCTCGTGGCGGACTGCGTGCGCGCCGTGGCGATGGAGGGGCGCGATGATAGTGGCGGCGGTGGCGATGGCGGCGGTGGCGGTGGTTGCTCCCTGTCAGTGCGACGCACCGTACAGGCCTTGAGGAAGCGGCGGCCAGACTGGGTGGAGGCCACCCTGGCACGGGCGGCCAGGATCGTTGGAGCACAGTGAGTCTGTGCAGACGTTAACCCTCACTTCTTATGACTGACTCTACTGATGAGACCCAGAAGGTCAAAACCGGTCCAGCATTTGCTTGGTCAAACAAATGCTGCTGGATAATATTGGTCTCAAAGATGGACTTTAAAATATTTGTATTTATATGTGAACGGAGTTCTCATTATACAGCATATGCTTTTACTTAGGTATATAGGTAGGCTGTCTGGAATCACATCTGCCTGCCTGCCTACCTATCTATTTGTCTGTTCAGGTCAGAGATTTGGAATATATTTCCACACCTGGCACACCACATCCAGTATAGCTTTCGCTGTGACTGGGCCACTCCTCAGGACACTTCGCTGGATGGGATGATGACCGGTGGTTGAGACTAACAACAGAATGGCAACCAAAGGAGGGAAGATGCCTGCGAGAATGTCTAGCGCGGAGATGTCGCGTTGAAATCGACTCGTGTGCAGGAGCTAGATGGATTGTTACATTTCAGGACCATAACAGATGGCTATGTATGAATGTACGTAGCTATTCGTGCTCATCAGCGGTGCGGGAGATGGGACAACAAACTAAACACATTAAAGGCTTGGGGTGGCCTTGATCAAGCCGTAGATAGATCAGTTAATGATATTGTTGACATGCATCGAATGTTTACAATTCTACAACATTATATTAAATATGTTGCTTTAAAGGTGAATGAAACGGACGAGACTGAACACGCGGGACAGACACAATAGGAAGTAGATGAGAGAATCTAGTCGTGAATCAAATCATACATATGATTTGTGGCAGTTCATGAGATCATGGAGGGTGGGGGGGGGGAAGGATATTCTTGTTATATCTCTACTGTTTACCATACATCCATCTGCTGAGCTAACCTGCCTTCATGCCTCTGCCTGCCTACATAGCTCTCTCTCTCTATATATATACTATACACAAACCCACGGTGGAATACGTACACGTTTTTTTTTGCACAGTAACAATTTACTTTTTCACTCCTCTTGTGAAATGTAAGAATTTTATCACCAAGGTAGCACCTTTGTACATGAAGGCATTTTAGGTTATAGAGACATTTTTTGCTCAATCATAACTTCAGGTGGATTTTTTTTTTCGATTTAATACACTCAACATCAAATGACTCTTATGGGAGATTCGGGTCAAGCGACGCATTTTTTTCCCCCTCTAAGGCACCGTGCGGCAAAGCAAAAACGATTCTGAACAAGGCCTAATAGAAGGAGGGATAAAGTGTCCTGTGATGCTGTTTCTCAGTAGCCGCCAGCACAAGTGCTGCTAGTCGGTCGCTTCTTGAAAGGCGAGAGACGTAAAACAGGGACCGGCGCTTCGACTTGCAGCCCTTTATTCCTTTCCTCCCCTCCGGCGCCCCGCGAATGCAACGCGGTGATTTGCGGCGGAGGCGACCATGCAGAGGCCGATTAAAAAACGTGTTGTGATCGCAGACCCCCGTGACTGCAATTGACCCGACTCAGAGGATGCGATGGCGCTACAGGGCCTGCCACGGCGCCCCAACGCCCACCGTATCGTGGTGGTGGTGGTGGTGGGGGGGGGGGCACCGAAAAATAATTAAGGGCCCGTGTTTGCGTGATAATTGTCTTAAGGGGCCAAGGTGCACGGCCCACCGTGTCAGGTTCCTTAAAGAGCATTGCCGTTGAATATTTATTGAAATCCTTTCTGCGTAACGCCCAATGGATTTGGAAGGCAGGCTACGGTCGTAATTGTCTGTTTGTTTAACGGGTGATCGTTTTCGCCGTTCGGTTTTAAGGAGGGACAATTATGAAAATTAAATATAGCAGCATTTGTGCTTTTAATGAGTATTTATATAATTGTGCTGTGAATTTAACACAGCTAACCGTGCACTTCCATCGCGACTGTTCAAAAACCTTCATTGGGACGGGTTGATCTTTGAAAATTTCGTCCTTTAAAATGTAACATGAAGAGCAGATTATTTTCCCTCGGCCGCTCGACGTGCTTTATGACGACATAAGTAAGAGTTATTGTACTTGGCAGGTTTGTATCAGAACTGAGTCCTGTGGAAATAATGCATTGTTTTACCCAGTTTTATGGGCAGGCCTTGCGCTTTGCATGTAAGTGAACTGTGGGACCCGGCTGATTTTTTTTTTCCCGCGGACCTGTCAGGGAGATTAATAGCTCATCATTACGCGCGAAAATGAGATAGCACATGACCGTTGCTTCGCTGGACCAAGAAAAGTACGGCAGAGCGCGGAGGCGGGTGGGGAGAAATAGCGCTGCGGCATTTGTATTACATGTGTTTGTAATGAATTGGGGAGACTTGCCACGTCGGTTAATGCGCTGGGTGTTTAATGGACCTATTCTGCCGTGCATTTTTACACGGCGGCGGCAAAAAAAAAAGTAGCCACTTAGCTTATCGTCACCGCCAAGAGTGTGCCGAATTCAAGATGGTTGTGCTTATTTATTTGTTTGGGGTTTTAATGAGCGGGACAGGTACGGGCTAGGCAATCAGCCGCCTGCGCCGTGTGCGATATAACCTTTTGATCAAGAGCGTTTTTCCACAAAGGTGAAACATTTGCTGTTTATGCCTCTTCCTGGTGCTCTCACACGGGGCTAATGAAGATGGAGGCAGTAATTCATAGCCAGAGCCTTTGCCAGTTCACTGTGCGCCTTTTCTAATGACATGATTGATAGGATGGTATGGGCTGGGCTTGGAGGAAATTAATCATCCCATGCCTCCGTTTAATCATCCCTTATATCATCGAAATGATTCATGGTGCCTGCAAAAGAGACACGAATATAGATGTTATTGGGCTATAGGAGGAGTTAAGCTGTGTCTATCCACATAACTCCTTGCATAAATCCTTGAGTTGGACCTTAACTGCCATTTTACCTAAAATAATGTGGTTTTATGTGATTCTCCAAATAGTTTTCAGAACAGATGAAATGCTTATATATCAGCTTGTGAGTGCGCGTGTGTACACCATATGCTTATGTACCTTTTATCACCTCGCATACATTTCGTGCACGCGCCTATTCGAGCCCGACGCTATTGACGCCGTGCTCCCTCAACCTGTAGGAAGTGACCGTCATGGGGGGGCGGCGCAAATTAACTTTTTCGCTTTTCGTTCCCGTGCGCAAACTAGCGTCGGCCCTCCGCGATGCAATTTCAGAAGGGACGGGGAAAAAAATAACGTTTTAACCTTCGCGTCTTCGGATGGCCGCAACGACCGGATTCTTTTTTTTTCTTTCTCCGTCCGCGTTTTGAAAATGCACACTTTTGGGAGCGAGCGTTTTGCCCTTGAGGCTGGCGGCGGGACATTTAATGTTTTTGCACGCGCGTTCGCGGCCCCCAGAAAGCACGCGAGCGAGCGTCTGTTTACGAGTGGCTCCCCTCGCCTCCGAGCCGCTGATGGCTTTAGTTTTCAAAGATACACTTTCCTTCTCCTTGAGGCGAACACACCGTCTCAGCGGGGGGGGGTGTACGGCAGACCGCATGTCTCAATACGCGCAATCAGAAAGCTGCTTTAATGTCTAACGGCTCCGCTCTAAGCACTGTCGTCGACGTAGTCTCCACGTCACGCGCCCTGATTGCTCATCCCAGCTGTAATTTACTGTGAGAAACAAGCGGGCCGCTGTGGTGTGGCCAGCGCAAGCCCTTGCTTTGGCAGGTGCCGGCGCGGTGGGTTTTGCTGCGATCGTGGCGATTCTGCAATTCTGTGTTTTTTTTTAGCGGACGGCGTGATCGCGTAGCCAAACTATTTCTGAAGTAATGAACTCGATTCTGCAATAAAAATTTTAAATAAATCGCCGATATGCATCCCATTAACGCTTTCCATCAAATTCTCTTTCCGGAATCATCGATGACGTGGAGATTTAACGACTTCATTTTCAAAGTTCGTTTAATTCCTGAATAATGTTTAGTGTAGCCAACAGCGCAGCGTGTTATGAGCGTTACAGATCGTGAGTCTTGTTTCGCGACGATCATCGTTCCATCGTGCCGACAGGCACCCCGACGTTTGTGCCGGTGTCCCGTGAGTGACAGGCATTTACGTTGCCCTAATTGCTTGTGACGGGCGGCCCTGTCTTTGTCTTTCCATACGAGTGCCGTGGCCTTTTCCCAGAGCGGGCATGCGTTACGTTTTTTATGATAAATTCTCACGGTGCCTATCTTGCTCCTGTGTAATAGGTGTGGTCTATTTAAACTTGCTTCTGTTTACTGTGTAATTGGCCCCTGGTGAGTTTTATTTGCCCTATTTATTGCGGATATGAAAACAGCTTCAACTGGCTCATCGCATCGGCACACACTAACAATTAATAATGCCCCGTGTTTTACCCGGCAAAGCCTCACCGAGTTTCAATATTTTTTTGCGTTTTTGAGAGGGTCCTGCATAAATTTGTTTGGCCAATTGCATTCATGAGTGTTTGGCACGTGGGACAACTTTGGAGGATCGGGAGAAAACCCATGCGTACAAGAGGGGGAAAACACTCAAATCTCCACACTCATGGATTCAAGAATCCACCGCCTTTGGGGAACACACTCAAATCTCCACACTCATGGATTCAAGAATCCACCGCCTTTGGGGAAAACTCTCAAATCTCCACACTCATGGATTCAAGAATCCGCCGCCTTTGGGGAACACACTCAAATATCCACACTCATGGATTCAAGAATCCACCGCCTTTGAGGAACACACTCAAATATCCACACTCATGGATTCAAGAATCCACCGCCTTTGGGGAAAACACTCAAATCTCCACACTCATGGATTCAAGAATCCACCGCCTTTGGGGAACACACTCAAATATCCACACTCATGGATTCAAGAATCCACCGCCTTTGGGGAACACACTCAAATATCCACACTCATGGATTAAAGAATCCACCGCCTTTGGGGAACACACCGAAATCCCTACACTCATGGATTCAAGAATCCATCGCCTTTGTAGCAGTTTCTGAATAGATGAGAAGTAAAGTTTTGAATTGTATTAAAACTGGAACGACTTTCCTACTTTTCCCAACACTTCACATAAAAAAACGCTAATTTTCTCATGCATTATACACGCAATAATGTCTACCAAATGTTTGTTTTATTCATCTACAATCTAACCTTATTATAATGTTTGTCAATTATGATAACTGTGTCATTGATATTAAGAATTATACGACAAAATTTTGATTTAAAGCTTTCGTGACTGCAGGGATTCATATTCTTGGTTTTTTCGATAAAGTCACGTAGAAGGGAAATAATAAAATAATATAAATATATACCGCAAGAACTAAGAATAATTATACGACTATGAGGTTGCACTCATTAAACACAATGTGCTTGCCACAGATGAACCACAGTACCTTGCTGATCTCGTTAGGGAGCATATAAGCCATCACACAAACTCCGGTCATCCTCGCAGCCGCTTCTGGCTCACCATCGAACAAAGATGGTCACTGCATCGCTCCCTTTCAGATGCACTTTTGCGGCCGTCTGGAACGCTCTTCCTTCTGATATTAGGAAACTACTGCAGCTATGCATTTTAAATCTAGATAGAAAACTCATTCTATCTATGGCCTCGCTCTCGTTAGAGGAATGAGGAATTTTCATCGCTGGCTCAAAGCTGTAAACAGGAGATGAACACTGCCAAAATGATAATTTGAGAAAACATTTTTTTTACCATACTTCACCATAGTGGTCATCATGGGTTGAGGAAGCAGGGTGTGTTTTGGGGGGAAGGTGGTGCAGAACTGGTTCAGATGCCGCTGTTTGCCACTGATGTTAGCCGAGGCCAGGCATCAGACGATGCCGATGCCTTGACTCTGTCTCACGCGATAACGCGGGTGGCTCATTTTAATGGCGTCCGAGGCCCACGCAACAATTCACAGTTGGTTGCTGATGTGAAGGATGCGTTACGCTAGGCAGGCCGTTGCGGCTGGGAGTCGGGGGACGTGGTGCCAGGCTGTTGCGAGGATCCTCCCAATTTGCCAGGCTAATCCATCAGCGACGACAGAGAAATTTGCTGCAATTTGTTTTGAGGCACAAGCGGGATGCGGCGAAGGAGGAGGAAATCCAAAGCGGCACCTGCGCTCACGGGCTCACGACGGCTGTGGTTTTTACCCGTCTCGTCGCCGGCTCAATCTGCGTACCCACGCGGACGCGCCCGATGGCGCGCGCGTGCTCGCACGCTCGCTCCTCCACGCTGGTGCCCACACGCAAACGCACGTGCAAGGTGCGTGTTTGCGCGCCGACGTCTCCCGCTTTGACATAAAGTTAACGGGGGCGTTGTTTCAAACGCCCTGTCAGATGGTGCTCTTGGTTTGCCGGCGGTCGGCAATTCAAGTACTGCGTAAACCATAAGAAACTCGGTGCTTTGCGGTAAGATGCATTCCATGTACTTTGTAGCTTTGTTTGTTCTTATAGAGAAAATGTCAAGGTTATTATTTTTTTTTTAAGCCACCTATGCAAACATTTTAGAGCAACAGCCGCGGTCGCGTTTTTAGCAACCGTGACAAAGCATAAAATCACACGAGACAGCTTTTTAATCCGTTTGGGCAAAATGCGAGCAGACGCATTCGTGAAATGGAAAACAAATGTATTCACAGTGTTTTTTTTATGAATTTACTTCCGCTGTTAAATATTTGAGTGATGTCCTTTAGGCTTGTTTGTAAGATGATTATTTGGTGGCAGGCTTGGCATACATTTCTACAAATACAGAGTTAACGGCGCATGACGAAGTGCATTTCTTTACATTCAATAACAAAGGTAAAGGCACAGTGCTGCAATTACTCGCTCACGCCACTCTTGACTTCCCTACTGGAGGGAGCTCTAGAGAGACCCCCCATTCAGACCAGTTCTTCCAGGCTTGCCAGACAGCTTTGGAGATGTGGGAGTATTCACACTTTGCCCCACCACCACACACAACCTGCCGATCGACTGTGGTGAACCTATTTATACTGCTGGGTGGATAGAGGTAGTTGGGGGGATGGATTTAATAAACCTGCGTTGTTGTTTCTACTGCCGCTACCAGGGGCATCGATTCGAACCGGTGACCGCTGTATTAGTCCAGCGGGTGTGAACCACTACACCACGACACCATTCTTACTATATTCTTGGTTCTTTCGGTAAAGTCACGTAGAAGGGAAATAATAAATTAATATAAATATAAAACAATAAAAATTCTCACGACGTTTCGACTGCAACACAAGCAATCATCATCAGGTGTGAAATCCACGGCAAGAAAATTTGAAAAAAGTGAGAATTTTTATTGTTTTATATTTATATTATTTCATTATTTCCCTTCTACGTGACTTTACCGAAAGAACCAAGAATATGAATCCCTGCAGTCACGAAAGCTTTAAACCATTCTTACTTTCAACAACAACAACATCCCCAAAATACCGAGGCTTGAAAGTTTGCACGAGCGAGCGAGCGAGCACGCGCGTGTGCTTGCGCGTATGTGAGTTGCGCGCGTGCACGCGCGTGTGTGAGTTGTGCGTGTGCAAGCGCGTGTGTGAGTTGCGCGTGTGTGTGTGTCGCAGGCGGTGTGACGCAGAGAGCGGCACGCGTGGTGCGGCGCGGCCGCTTGTGCTGCCGCCAGCAGCTCCGCCTTCGCGCCGGAGGCCAGGTGGTCCCCTATACCTGCGCCGCATCCATCACGCTGTCAGCACCAATGAGGTATGGAAATGAGCACTTGATTGGGCGGCTGTCGGGGCTTGCGCGAAAGTCACGGCGGGGTCAGCCTCGCCAACCCAGGGACCCGGGAGGTGCTTTGATATTACAGCAGATTATTTGCTCTGCAGTTCAGCGGCCGGAGCGCTCGCTGTGCATTGATAAGTCTTTTATTTGAGTCCAGAGGTTTCCGGTCCCAGAGCTCTGCGAGGTGAATGCTCCAGTTCAAGCAATAAGATACACAAACACATGGGCTACCTTTTGAGTTTGAATACGGGAGCAGTCGCCTTTTTATACGAAAGGGCAAAGATAAGACTGTGTCCATATGAATTTCTTTGTTTCGGGAAATGTTCTATTTAATCTTTACAGACTTTTATAATCACTATTTACCAAACCTGATGTGCCCTGACATTCTAACGTTTTTTTATTAGCTGGCGGTGGCGGCGGGTGGTCGCCGCCAGCTCTCTGCAGTGATATCCGAGGTTTATTGCCTGGGCCCTTTGTCATTTCAGCGCATCTTCGGAGACCAGGCATGCCGTTTAATTAATAATTGGGTGTTCGTTTTTTTTTTAGATGTGGCTCGCACAGCAACTGGGAGGGGATAGAAGAGTTCAAGTGGAGCAGACCCCAGCGGAGTTTGTGCTTTCGGATTCCGAGCCTCCTTCAGACTTTAATCCTGTGAGCAGCCTCTGCCACATTGGCACCGAGCCATTACAACAGGTCTGTACCCCTTGTCGGGTGACACATCTCGCCCTCCTGCATTAGAAATTAGTTTTGCCATTTGAATTCTTTGGGAGTTACCAAATCGGGGCAACGGTTGGCACGCTGGACGCTTGCAATCCAGAGGATGTCGGTCCAATGCCATCTCCCGGTGCGTGCGGCAGTTGAAACAATGGAGCAAGTTGCTCAAATCCACCAAACCCAGCGGTCTTTGAATGCCCAGCAGTATAAATGGGCATGCCGCAGGTAAGCCATTGGCAGGTCCGCATGTGATGGGGTAAAGCGTGGGTACTCCCACGTATTACCAGCCATCTGGCCAGCGTGGAAGAGTAGGCCAAAGATATAATCTCGAGTGGCTCTCTAGAGCTGCCTCAAGTGGAGGCCCTTCTCCCAGCAGTGGCGTGAGCGAGCAATTGCACGGCCGCACCTTTATCTCTCTGCTATTGGTGTTTGTGCAAGCCCGTGCAGGTCATCCCTGTGACATGTGAACATTTCACAATGTCACTTCTGCCGTGTGACAGACCCACAATGCCACTGCTTCGCAAGCATCAACATAGCGATGTTAGAGCGGTTGCCCTGGGTCGGGGCATGTAAGTGAACCGTGCAAGGGCCGTACAAATTCTCCGCAACAGGTGGGGATGAAATGCAATCGACGATGGTTCACACTTTCTTCAATGTGTACATAAGAATGATTATATGACGAAAGCACGCTCTGTGTGTGTGTGCATCATTGGAGACATTCAGTGGAAACTATTCTGCCCATTTCCCCCCCCTAAAGGTGCCTCCAGGGTTGCCACCTCGCACGAGCGATGCCAGGGTGGTGACATGGCCCAGTGGTAGCGCATTCCTCATTTCAGAATCAGAATATTAATTTCATACTGGAGGAATCCGACGAGCTATAAAGCTCTTTTTTACAGATGTCCAAATGTAACAAATTTGTTGCAGAGTTTCACGGTTTGAATCCAGCCGGCTGCCCTGATTATTGTTGCGAGTGTAATCAGCACAGTGGACGCCTCAAGATCCTCTGCTCCCCGTTCGCAAGAGTACGCCATTGTGTGCCACATTAGAAAATGTCCCACAAGTTTCTCATTTGGGATTATACGTGGCAATTATTGCCTCTTACTGGTAGACGAATGCCCCGGGTCGCTCATGCAAATGAGGCCGGTCTCCTGAGTTCTCACCTGCTTGATTACAATACACGTTAAACCTTTCTCCATTTTTCCCAGATTGCCCTTTTATTTGACGTAATATTGAAAATCCCATTGTTTTTGGCGGTGGCGTGAAATAATTAACCCTCTTAAGAATATGCATCTTCACGTGCTTCTCCTCTCTGTCGGTTCTGTGAGATAAAATCTCCTTCCCACGTGCCGTTTTTTAAATTTTCACGGCACCCACTCGGTGCGAGGCAAACCTCTAACACCGACTGGTCCAATGACGTGTTCACTCTCACACGAGGCCCATGCGTGCGCGCTGGTGCAAACGTGCCGGACGTACGCCATTTGCGTCGCACAAAAGTGCGCGGCATTGAAACCAGTCAGCACTCTGCCAACGACCGACCTTTTGACGATGCAGCAGGCTACTATTTGCCCAATCGTATGGGTTCGCTTTCACCTCTGCCAACGCTGGGGTTTTCTTTGTGACTCCGCAGCCCAATTCACCAGTCCGACCACTCCAGCCAGCCGAGTAGGTGGGGCCCAATCGGGAAACCTAACAACCTCTCCGAGTGAGCGATTCTCAGCGGTTGGAGCTGACGTACAAATGGGAGGCTGCTGCGCATGCATGCAAGCGAGAATTTTCGTTAAAGGAATTAATGTAGCCTGACGATTATTGGCCTGCGCGCACATACATTAGGGGAATAAAGTGAATCCTGGCAGACACACCACAATAGATAAGAGACTCACCCGACTTTGCAACACTTTGCCGAGCCCTGTAACCAGGCCTGCGTTTACCGAGACCAAGGTCAGTCAGCTGTGTGAGTGTGAAGCCGATCCTTGTTTGTTACTTTCAGGTCCCACTCTTTGACTATTTCTCATTGCATACAGGCAGGAGCTGCCGTGCTGTGATGGTTAGCACACTGGATTTGCAATCCCGAATTCGCCGATTCAATCCCACCTCCTTGAAACAACAGTTCCGCTTTTCTCAATTCCCCCAACGCCTCTGACCACCCAGGTGTATAAATGGGTTCACCGCAGTTGATCATTAGGTCTCGTGCGGTGGGGTGAAGTGTGGGTAAGCACACTGCGTCAATGTGGAAGGAAGAGTAGACCAGAGTTCACTCCAGTGGAGGGCAGCGGTGGCGTGATTGATCAAGCAATTGCAGATTTTCTTTTTTAAGTAATCCTGGCTTGACCTCGGCAGGCACAACTGTTTTCCTGGCCCTGGGACTGGAGTGCTTTGCTGCAAGCTCACCTGGGACTGACTAAGCCCTCCTTCGCCTGCCTGCTGGCCAACAGGTACGGAGGGGACTTGAGCTGCTGCTGCTGCTGCCTTTGTGCTGCGCTTTTTGCATTACATCTCACTGCCTCGCTGACAGCTTCACCATGGCTCCCGATTGCTTTGTTCGTGACGCAGTAGCCATGTGCCCTCTCACGCAAGGAGGTCGGAAAGTGAAACTTTTGGAAGGTAGGCATTGACTGAGCATTGTAATGAGCAAACCTTTGTCCTTGCCCTGCACCTCCGATTAGCACGGTTGGCTACGTACGGTGCGAAATAGGTTCAGCATACATACATATATACAAACCTCGCATAAATACAAATTTTCATGATACTGCGTTGGTAGTGGTGCACGGGAACAAATAATCAAAAACTCAACGGCTTGTCAATAAAACTGACTTAAACAGAAAAAATATATAATCGGCGACATTGCCGAATGTATTGAGTTGTGTGATCTATGTAAATCCATTCGTGTTGTAGAATTGTCCGGGAGCAAGTCCAGGAAGAGGGGAGCAGTGCTTCTGTATTTCTCTTGCAGCTGGTTTCTGGCAGGGCTTGCCGAGTGAGCTTTACCTACACTTGTACTCGTACACACGCGCTCTTAATCCCGACGCGCCAATTGCGCTGATAATTATCATCTTGTTCAGTGTTTTTTTTTAAATATATTTAAGCGCTTTTTAAAATTATTTTCTTGGCAAATCTTGCCCGAATTATATCATCTGAAAACATTCATATTGTTGGGCTGGTCGGGTAAGTCTGGTAGCAATGGTTTTGTGGCAGTTGGAGAATTATGTGAAGTGTCCCGGACGCATGTACGGACACACAGATGGACAGACAGACATAAAGACAGACATGCAGACGGTTAGACAGACGGCAGGACGGATCGATGGACCGTCTGATGAACAGATCTACCATCCGACAGACACGGGGACAGACATAAAACCTCTCTTTCCACAGCAATAACCAACCTTTCGGTTCCCTTAAATGTACCACACATAATAATAATCCACGAAATTACCGTCACTCTAAAAAAAAAAAACATATACACATTGAATGAGAAATACATACAAAAAAAATAAAAAAAAATACTGCTAATGTCGCACCACGGGGTGCCCGCCACGCCTGGGGCCTATGCCCGCTGGCATTTAGGGGCTGGCACCAGCGCGCACAGGGGCGGCCAGGCCTGGCGTGCAGCGCCGGCGTGCGCGCTGGCACATGGCAAGGGCGTTTGCCAGGTTCGCATGGTGATGGATGGCGGAGGATGGGAACGTGTCACTTTGATAAATGTCCACAGTTATGGCTCGCCATACCCACAGTCTGTTCACTGCCCTCCCTCTCCGTCATCGTTTCCCCACAAAGTGGTTTTTGATTTGTCTTTTTATTTTCTGGCTGCTACCGCTTTCTTGTTTTGCCAAACAGTGTATGCTTTATTTTGATTTAGAACGTAATAAAGGATTTTGTTGTTGTTTATTTATTTGCATTTTGGGGTTTTTATGGGAGTTTATATAATATTGCGTACATCTGCGACACCTGTAAAATGTTCACTGCGGTCATGTCTTGACAGCACGGGAACGGTAGGCGCGTGTTTGTTACCAGGATGTTTTGTTTTAACATTTAGCTGTCATAACATGCTCTTTAGGATTCCTGTTATGCTATCGTGATCTCAATGTATCCATTGTGAGCAGACGAGCAAGAGCCTATGTAGAATCGGCTGCGATTTCCTACTCGCTGCAATCCGAAAGTGTTCGCTGTCTCCAAAAAACAAAACTTACAACCCCCATTGCCTGCGAGAGCCGGATATAATTGACGGTGATCAATCCAGCTGCTGCTGGTGTTGATGATGACCATGATGACAATGATTACGTACACAATTCATCGGTAATTACAATGCCAGCTTAAATTACATTGGAAACTCAAGCACTGTGCCTGATGGATTTTTTTCTTAAGCCAACACTCAATGGGCGCGGAATGGCATAATGTACTTCGTCATGTATATAGTCCATAATAGAGGCGTTTTTGGGTTAGATCGCGTAAATATATAAATGTGTCGTTAAAACCAGCCACCACCCGACACAGCCAACTAGTAAGGGTTGTCACGTAAACAGAACGTGGCCAATTCGTCACTAGTACAGCACACCGGTGCGTTGGAGAGCCATTTCGATGGGAATTCAGAATTAGTTCTGAGATATCATGTTCTATCATCTCTTCTGCTTGCTGCGAGCGTTCCATAATGCCAATGGCACAGTGTAACTATCACTGAGTGGAAAACTCGCGAGTTGACAAAGCGTGTTTTTGTAACTGTATCAAAAGATAAGCAGGCTTGAGCCTGTACAGTGCTTGGAACGCTGCCCACCATGTGTGCCAGGTGTTACAGATCGTGGGGTGACAAGTTGAGTGACAGAGGGGTGGTGCAGCTATGTCACATGTTTTGCTCTACTTTTCCTTTCCCGTGTCCACGCTTCCCACACCATCTTCACCAACCCGCGCTGACTAGCGGGGTGAAGTATGGTGAAAATGACTGCCTGAACGATGTGGGGGAGGCCCTCATCCAGCAGTGGGTGTATAAAGTTCGGTATACATGCACGTCATGGTCTTTCAGTAACGGATGCTTTCTGAGATGGCTGCACGCTGAGTAATTCGTGCGTTGCGCGCGATCGTTGCGCGCCCTCACCCTTGGCGTGTTTGTCTCTGATTTGCCTTCTTTTTGTTCGAGGCGAGTGTCACTGAAGGGCTTTCTGGATGAGTGTAATATCGGGTGTAATATGTGCACCAGAAGTCATTATGTGAGCGGTTCAGCTCGGTGTTCTCGTATAACCTTAAATGCCCTCTTTTTAAAAAAAAAAAGGCGCATTACATCACCGCGTATTACTCAAAACACCTTTGAACTTCCAGGATGCGCCCGCAATTAGCGAAATGCTAGACTTAATTCCACTGCGTAAGGGGATGTATCCGTGTAAAGGAATATGGGATCGTAACGTGCAGGTCACGCGGGGTGCGGTGGCAATGGATCGAGGCTCGTGACGGTAGAATTAGCGGCGCGAATTAAGAGTTCGTTCTCCGCGCTTGTTCTACGACCGCTTCTTTTTGTTCATACGCGGGAACATTTTGAACGACAGTGAATGCCGTCGAGAGAATTTGCCACTTGCGAGATGCCGTTGCTCCTTGCAGACTGGAAAGGCTGTTCAAACATTGCGTTTTAAAGATTGGCCTCGGTGAAGTTTATTCTAGCGGTTATATTTAGCAGCGTGCCCTTTCCCCCCCCCCCCTCTCTCTCACTCTCTATGTAAACATATCCAAAGACAAATCCATAATGACACGTGATCTTGCGCTGCTGGCAGTTTTGCGTGTGCTTAACACGAGGCTGCACTTGAGCGGAGGAGCACTTTGGAAGTGACGTTACAAATGAGCCCGAAGGAATGGATGCCAGGACAACAGATCTTCGTTGGGTTTTTTCCCAGTAGGGGGCGCCCAAGTAATGTTGAATTTTTGTCAAGAGGTTGTGGATGATATTCGACATCTCAGATACCCATTTGCCTATAAAAGTCACACCGAGTCCAAAGGCGCCTTTTTCAGGAGGGTCCTGCCACGTTGGGCTGTTTGGCCAACGCCAGCGACTTTGTAGCTGTTCAGATTTATGTTTGTATCTTGAACTTATTTCGCACCGTACGTAGCCAACACGCTAGCCTGTGCCTACGCAATTTGCGTGCGCTCCTGCGCGAACATTTACATGCGTGCGCGTTATACAACGGCGCGCTCTCCGTTTTAGATGGTTTCCTTACCGTCACAAGTTTCCCACGCATTGCATATTATCGCGCCAACGCAGTTGCACTCTGGAATTGTTTCGTTGTTTTATGGGTAAACTTCAGCCCCCTGTCAATCTGCTGCTCCCCATGCTTGTCGGGTCGGTCTAGAGGGCTGTTTGACCATACGTCACCACGCTGCTCAGGACGGGTTGGCAGAAGCATCGTAGAATAGCACCCTGCAATATTCACGCTGAACCCTGGTACCTGATGCTCTGCAAGGGACGAGTCAAGTCAATTTAATTTAGATTTTTAATTAATCTGTGGCGCCTCGCTGGCACAAGTCTGCCATCCAAGGCGCCAAGAAGTGGCGGAACAGAGCAGGCTGGCGGCGTGGCTGCCGAGTGTGCAGGCGGTGCAACTGCACGGGCTGGAGGGGTGCAGGCACTTGGCTACTAAGAGGGGGGGGGGTAACTTTAACGGGGTTTTGGGTGGTGGGCGGGGGCATTTAATTCATTACACCAGGGCCCATGCCAACCACGCTACGCCACTTGGCGCAGAGTTTATAGGCGTCCCTCCTTAGGTCGGAGTGGGCGTGGAGCCATCGCTTGCAGAGTGAGGCGAGCTGCAAGGGCTGAGGGCGGGGAGGGGGGTGCCCTCTTATCGGCTTCCACACCAGAGGAACGATCCCAAATGGCAGCTCGCCTCGGCCTGCGTGTTGAGGGTTATTGCGGTTCGCTGGAAATGCCGTGCGACCGCCGTTGCGGACGTGATGTCTGCCGTTCTATTGGTACATGCTTCAAAGTGAAAAGCAACATGCCAGTGTGTGCGTAGAGAAGATCGTTCATAATCGACGCGCATTGCCTGCTGTGGCTTGCGGTTGCGACGCAGACGTTTACGAATTGGAGCAAAAACTTAAAAGTGCACAAAGTGGCATGGAGAGACGCGTGTTTTTTGGAATTGCGTCGAGAGACGGACAGAGGAGCACATGTATTTTGAGAACGTACGCACATTTTTCGGGACATCATTCTAACCGTTCGGAAAAGTAAGTGGGCTTGGGCAGCACACGTCACCGAAAGGGACGGTGACCGGTGGTCGAGATTAATGATGAAGTAGCAGCTGATGCCACAGAGATGGAGTCACGGAATTAACTCATTGTGCCACATGCTAGGTAGATTGTTCCATTGCAGTACCGTGAGAGATGGTGATGGCTTGGGGAGGCTTTCATCCAGCAGTGGAATGATCACAGCGGATGATGATAATCTATTAATATCTAGCCT